CTAGTTAGGAATTTATTCCATTTTCACTAGTAACCTTCAGCTGCATTCTTGCAGCCAGCTGTCAGTGACTGATCCAGGCGCTCTGCCCTTTCAGAAAGTTAAGCTTCATTTGTTTAAAGGTTATAGTGCCATTTTAAAGTAGTAAATCAAAAGCTGTCTTAAAACAAAAAGCTATCTAGCATTCCTTTCTTTGTTAAAAAAGAATAGGTGGTGATGTTTTCATATTTTAGGAATTTTATCTCAAATGTCACAAGAATTTATATGATTCAGTTATATTCTGAGGCTAGGCAGTCAGTCCATCTTAGTGTCTTCATTTTAACTTGGTATTTTTCTTCTGCTGGATTTCTGTTGTTGCAAATTCATGAAAGTGTAGCATACACTCTCTGGTATCTGTGCGCGCAAACTGAGATTCATGTAACCTGAAAATTCAATCCAACAGCAAAAGTATAGTGTTGGAAAGGTCTCCCATACCTTGAGTTAGGTCATGTTATGTGATACCTGAACAAAATCATGATTCAGCGTGCTGCAAACATGACATTGCTTCAGGATTTTTTCTGAACTTGCCTTCTTGCAGCCTGTTTTTTGCTTCAAATTAGTTAGTTCCAATGCTTTATTTGTTCCCTATCTGTTAAACTTTATGAGAAAATAGAAAGTTCACCTCTGTAACTACCCTACAATATCTTTGTAGATTTTTGTTATTAATGGTTTTTATTTTTTTAAGATCATTAAATCTTAGTGGACTATCTTTACAGTAGACAGCAATGATAAAAGTATTAATTCCTAGTTGCCATCTCATTTGTTTACATATATATACGTTATATATACTTATAGATAATGTATATTTAATATACATAATACATGCTTGGCTACAATATCTGATGTTTCAAGAATTTCTCTGGGACTGTATTAGAATTGTTCGTGTTTGCATTATGTTTTGAGTGCAGTTTCCTGAGGTTCTGACCAATAATGGAGCTATGTAGGACTGCACCTTACCCTTATGTATTTAAATCTGTGCCATTTCATTTCACACATCTCAAAACACTTGAAGCATCACAGAAACATCTGAAAATAAATTCATGTGGTTTCTTTCCCTTATGAGATGTGACGTTCTGTGTTCAAAGATATCAGAGAACAGCACATTCTCTTTGAATTGAAATATGCTGATACTCCTCTGCTGCTGCTTCCTGTAAATTTGCATTGATCCTCCTTATCATGTGCCAAAGCTTTTGATTTGTATTTAAGCAAGTTTCTAAGCACAGTCTTCATAAATTGCAAAATTTGTTCACATTATGAACAAAATAATAAACTTGGTATGAGAGAACCACTGTTGCTGTCCCATGCTTCCTGTCTAAGCTTTTGTGATCTGCTGTAGAAAACATTCTCTCAACTTCTTTTCCTGTTCACAGTCTGGATTTCTTCACAGTCTTATTGGTACACAAAATGTAGCACATTTCTCAAGTTCTACATTTTTAATTGCCTTTATCCTTACAGCTCTACAGACAGATTCTTTTCCTGATTATTCTGAAGGTTTTTTAAATATTATTTATCTTCTCTATCCCCTGGTACCTACTCTTTTTCCCAGAAGAAGAATTTTTCAGTTGCTGATGTATGTTCCACAATACTAGTGGCAATGAAAGCTGGCAGAATCCTGGGATCTTACAGTAGTTTATATTGGGAAGGACCTCTTGAGGTCGACTGGTCCAACTCTTTTCTCAAAGGCACTCCAGGTGTTAAATCAGGTTGTTCAGGGCCTTGTGCTGTTGAATAATTTTACAATTTCCAACGATGGAGTTTCTGCAGCTCCACTGGACAGTCTGTGCCTGTGGTGACCACTCTCTTTCTGGGGATTCTTTCCCTACTCTCTCATCATCTCAGAGTACGTTGTGTGGTTCCACCTGCCAGCATCTTGGTGGCCTTCCATCAGCCAAGGAGTATTTTAGGATTTTTGTTGCACTGAGGAACCCAAAACTAGATACAGCATTCCAGATGTGGTTTCATAAGTAACAAAGAGGAGAATAGTCATAGCACTTGACCTACTGGCTATGTGTTTACCAAAACAGCCTGGGATGCAGTCATTGCAGAGGTTTAATGCTTGTTTATGTGTTCATCTTGTTGTCCATTAGAGCTCTCAGGTCCTCTTTCTTAAGGTATTTTCTGGTTGGTGGCTTTGAGCACATACTACTTACTGTATGGTTCTATCCCAGATGCAAGGCCCTGAATTTGGCTTTGTTGATCTTTGTGTGGTTTCAGCCTTTCCAGTTCCCTCTTATGAACAGCTCTGCCCTCCCATATTTCAAGTGCTCCCTACCATCTTATCAATGAAGGTGCAAAGAGAAAACTGATAATATCTTCTGAGCCATTAGTAAAACCACAGTCATTGATATCAATCCTGAAGTTGTGCCATTTGTAACTGGCAACCAGTTGGATTGGTGAACAACTGACCTGTGTTGTATTTCCACCCATCTTGTTATTTCTCCATGCATTCTCATGTCACCCCAGTTTGGCTACAGAGGTTCACTGAGATGTTGTGTTGGAAGCCACGCCAAATCAAGAGAAGGAAATGTGTACTGCTCTTCCTTCTTATCATGGAAAGCAATAATATTGATCAAACATGGTTAATTCTTAGTAGATCCATCTTGACCATTCCTGTTCTTTCTTATCCATCGTGTTCTTGGAAAGTGACTTCCAGAAGGATTTGCTCCATTCTCTTGGGGGAACGAGGTTAGAGTGTGATTCCAGCCTGTAGTTTTCTGGATTGTCCTTATTGCTCTGATTTCAAGACAGACGTGGTGCTTGACCTTTACCCAGTCATCAGGAGTCTTCCCCAGTTACAGTGACCTTTCAGAGAAGGCAAGCAGCTGGCTAACAGTGTTGATTGGCTCCTTCAGCACCCTCAAATGTATCCTCTCTGGTCCCAGCACAGAGGATGTGTCAAGTTCGCTGCTTGCTTTGCTGTCCCACATTCTGCTTCAGGGAGCTGGGTGGCCTACGAGCCTTATCAATAAAGTCAGAAGTAAAAAAGACATGGTTACCTTGATCTCTGTAATCTTTACCATTAAATCCACTGTGCTCTTGAGAGCAGTGGGCCCACGTTTGCCTTGTTCTTTGTTTTATTACTGTATTAAAGCTTATTCCCCTTCATAACTGGTTAATTTCAACTCACATCTTTCCTTTCTCAGTTCTGCCCTTGCATGTCTGGGACATTCTTGATGGATACTGGGTAGCTTAGTCCTGTTTGTGCATTTCAAACCTTTGCTTTTTGTGCTTGAGTTGAGGCAGGGGTTACCCATTCAGCCTGTCTGGCTCTCTGCCATGCCTGCTTGATTTCTAGCTAACTAGAACAGACTGTTCTTATGCTCTGAACACGTCATCTTCAAAGATCAACCCACTCTTCTACCCTCCACAGCAACTTCCCACAGGATCCTGCCTGTAAACCCCCTGAACAAACTGTAGTCTGTTCTCCTGAAGTATAGGGTCTGCTCCTTGCCCTCCTCAGTTTTCTCAGGATCTTAAATTCCACCGACTTGCACTTGCTTCAGCCAAGGCTGACATTGATTTTTGTCATCCCTCACCAATTTTTCATTGTTCATGAGCAACATATTTGAGTGTCTCCCTAGCTGGATTAGTTGCTTGTTTGGATTAAAATAAATCATCTTGATGGTCGGGAGTCTCCTGGATTGCTTGTATCCTTCCAGGATGCCCTTCGAGAGTATGTAGAAATGGTTAAGCTATTTACCAGATATTCATTATCATTAACTTCCCACTGACAATCTCATCTTAAAGTCACACAGAATTAATTGTTTCTCTCATGCCTTCTTCCCCCATTAAGTCTGAAGTCCCTTTTAATTCCTTTCTTAGGATCAAATTCCATAGTTATTGACCCTAAGCAGGAATCTCACAATGTGTGCATCTACTGCTCTCTGAATGTAAGAGTCTCCAGCTCTTCATACAATTTAATATTTTCTGCTGGTAGGGGTCTTGATCAAGCCAATCTTCTTTCTCTTATGTTCTTGCTATAAATATTTGGGGGGGAAGCATCAAGACTTGGCACTCCAAGACAGATTGCCTCTAGTATTGTGGATTCCATTCACTGCTTCCATTATTGTTTGTTCTTGCAATAAGAATGGATTTTTTAAATATGTTTAACCAGGAATGCATTCACTAGCATGCTGCATTTACGAAATTAAAGTCTTGGACCTTGCACGTTCTTGGAATTTGTCAGGGGTCAGAATTTCACGGGCTTTCTTTGCAGATTCCTTTAACTGCCACCCTCCCTCAAAAAAAAAAAAAAAAAAAAAAAAAAAAAGGAGAGCTTATCTGGAGAAAATTGCACCATAGGATCCTTGAACATAATACTGTAGATCTAATTTTAAAAGTATAAAACTATGTAAGCAGTGAACACTACAGAAAGCACTTCAAGATGGCCAGAAGGTGCATCACCACACTGAAAGTGAATTTTAATGTCGTATGGAATAATACATAGATCTGAAATCCGTGCGTGATGCAGCCTGGAGTTGAATGTGAAGGTTGAGTTGTGTTCCTCATGATTTGACTGTTGTTGAACCCTCCAGCTGTGCAGGAGCAGGTTGCACCTGCAGTGCTTATGAATGCAGCTGACACTTCACTCCTCTGTGTTGTTGATCGAGCGTCAAGTGATTGTGACAGCACAGTGAATGTCAATGAATGAATGTCTGAAAATTCACATTATCTCTGGTTCTTGTCATTACCAGGGTCTTTCTGGAAGCTGTTCCTGATAATAGGGGGTGTAGAATGAGAACTGGCAAAATCTGAAAGAAATTTCAATTGTTACCATTTATTGTTTGCCAAATGATATTGAAAGGGACTTTTTTTTGTGGTGACTACAGATTTCAAAGGTTGCCAGGAAGGCTATAAACATTAGATAAAAATGCCTTTTTTGACTCTGGGTGGCAGGTATTACAGAAAATGAGTGCATTTTGTTAATACGTGCATTATCACATCTTTTGTTTCTTTTCTTTTAGATGAGAAGATTGTGGAAAAAATACGAGCTTTACAAATGAAAGCTGAAGACTATGATGTTGTTAAGGTGATTGGAAGAGGGGCTTTTGGAGAAGTGCAGCTGGTAAGAAAGGGATGATTTGTTGATTAACAGATTTACGGCTGTAGTAAAACTCTTTTCACTCTTACATGCTTTAGATCTAAAAATGCATTCTTACAGAGAATGTTAAAGTTGAAAACATTTTTGTTGTATCCTGAGTCATTTCTGTGCATAGTAAGCAATAAGTAAGTTTAAAACATAATGGATTGGATGGAAAGGATTTGGAAAATATTTTACCATGCTTCCAGCAAAATGGAACAGGTAGTTCAAAACAACTTTTCTTTTTTTTTTTTTTGAGGGCACAAGCATTAAAATATAAGAATGTCTGAAATCATTCAATTAGAGAACAAGCTAATCGTGCAGAAAAAACTGCTGTTTTACTCTTCCTGCTAATTTGCAGGAATTGAAGCTGGTTAACTTGCTGCCACAAGGTAACTCAAATGTTCGTTTGCAGAGGTTTTTTGGCATGTCTCTGACATTTTACTGCTGAGTGCTGGCTTTGTTCTAGGAAGCAGGGAAAGTCATACCGCCAAATCATACAACATTTGTGGAGAGCAGTGCTTTGTTGGGGAATGTTGCAAGTTCTTGTATCTGAAGAGCTTGTACGATGTGCACCATGTGTAATTGCCATAAATTTATTACTCATCTATAAAATTATTTGTATGTTCTCTACTAGCATTGGTGAGAGTGGATGGAAATGGGGGGGAGAAAAAAGCAGGCTTTTAAGATTTTTTGTGTAGTTATTATTTATTTCTTGTGTACCTTGCAGCAGTGACTTGATGAAAGTTGCTACCATAGACAGACGTAGTTTTGATCGTTCTGTACCAGTAAGGCAATATTTTTGTCTCAAAATAGTTGCAAAAGTCTTGGTGTATTAGATGAATTAAGTAGTGGATCCCTGGTTGCCACTTAATACAATGTAAAAAGGTAAAACTTTTCTTTGCTTACTCTTCCTGGCTGTGTTTTTCAAGGTAAAATGAAAATTGGAGTACGGGAAGGCTGTGGTTAGCTTAACACTATTTCTGTGCCTCATGGATAAATGCAAGTTTAGATTTTATTCATATGTGGCAGTTAACAAAATTCAATCAGAGGTTTTATAAATGTATTTTAGTTTTTAATCTGTCTTCATCCCAGTGTGGTAACATGGGAATGTATCTCCCTCTTCCCTATTTCTTCCTTGGTCAGCTGCTCTTTGTTTCTATCCAGAAGAATTCATGGGAGATAAAGAGGGATATTTCCAGAGATGATGTTTTCAATCAAGACTTTAAAGAATTAATGGGTGTATTGCTTTTATATCTTTGCTGGCAAGAGATTAAAAAGAAAAACAAAACTGTCAGCAGAACCCTGTGTACTTGAGAAAAAGTGGCTGCAGGGAGCTTTGTAACAAAGCAGTCTGCTCTTAGGCCTCTCTGTCTTTACAGCAATTATCAAATGTTTCATTTAAGCTATTTTATTAGACCTTTTTCATTATATTTTTCCACGTATAGCATCTACTAGAGAGAGCATCTATTAGAGATGCTTTTGAGATGTTCCTTTACCATGTGCTTGAGCAGAAATCAGAAAAAAAAAAGAATCATATTGTAAGGACTGGAGTTCCTCTCCCATCTACTGAGGAGGGAGGGAAATGAGAAATGGAGAATACCAATAACAGAAGTTAGCTTTTTCTTTTTGGATTTCTTATATATATTTGTGAATTTGTGAGCACTTACGGGTTTTTTTGTTTTGTTTTGTTTTTTGTTTTGTTTTTTCAAATTATTGATTTTTTTTTTTTTTTATTTGCTTGATAACATTTAGTTTTAAATAGAAATTCTTAATTTGTTATGGTTTGGAATGAAAACTGTACCTTTTTTGTGTTACTGCACTGTGTCACGCATACCTTTGTAAAGTTGTAAGGCAGAGGTGATTGTTCACAGCAGTGAGTCCTGCAGCCAGTTACCTGGCGTAATCTGAAGACAATCTTCAGCTCTCATGTGGTTAATCATTACAATGGAATGTTGAAATGCGCAGCAACTTGGTCAGAGGGATTTGCTTTTAATTCTGTTTACTTTAAGTTGGCCCCTAGAATAAAAAAGCTAAAAATGAGTAACACTGGACCAAAATTTCTGTTCATATAGAGCTCTTCTGTGCTTTATGCCAGCTTGAGAGCACGTTCTCTTTCTGGAATGTAACAAGTAGAAACAATGGTGCTGTAATGTCTTACAGCTAAAAACCAATGGGTTAATAAATACCACTGTTGATCTGAACTAATATTAGCTGGTGATGAGAGCATACATACCTAGATTTTTTGCCTCACAAGGTATGATACAAGTTCAAGCTATTGAGTTAAGCTATATCTATTTCTACTCCATTTGTAATGTTAACACCACAGTTGCAGATGATAGATTTGCAGTAATCAAAATATTTTTCAACACGTTCTGTGATCAGAATAGAAATCTGCTTCACTGGGGGCTAAACAGAGAAAGGACCATAAATAAAATATGTTTGACTACGTGAGTAAAATTCATGAATATCATGTTGTCAGCATGTGCTACTGTGAATAGGTTTATGCAGCACAATCCTTTATTAAGTATTTGTAATATTTAAACACAACAAGACAAAAGAATGAGCATGCTAATATATAGTGTAGAATACTCGGTTATGACTTCCTTGTTTTTTTTCCCCCAGTTTTTAGCTCCAGTATGGCATTTTAAAAACTCAGAAGCATTAAATTCTATGCTTGCCTTCTCCTTTGCTAAGAATTTCCTGTCTGCAGCCAGATCACTTCTCTTACGTAGTGGCATGAATAAAAGGGCTTGGTGTCTAGAGCAGACTTAAAAATTGAATTATGGTGCTATATATGTTGTTCTGGTTTATGCAGAAGCATTAATTAATGAAAGCACATCCCAAGTGCCTCTTCTGCTTTTACTTTAGGAAAAATCCTCTTGGTTTGAAACTGAAACTACTTACTGTTTCCTTTGGTCAGGTCTTGTTACACAGCCCTGTGACAGCAGTGACAGCAGACTGACATGGTTGAATGCTGGAACTGAAGGCTAGCCAGCACCTTCTATTTGGGTAGTTAGAGTTGGGCTGGGTGACAGTCTGTATACAGTGGGATTTCTCGGTGTTGGAAACCAGTGACTGTCATAGCACACACAGCCAGGTGCTGCTTTGGTTTTTTTCCAGGAAATGCTTTGTATGTGAGGTTTTGTTCCCCAGCTGCTGCTGATGTAGTAGTGCAGTTAAAGCAGTCGTGCTCTGCTACCCGCAGGTTTTTCGTACCTTACCTGTCGCTTCCTATGGCTCTAATAAATGATTTAGGATATCTGTGCTTATTTCAGAGCCTGAGAGTTCATTCCACAACTCTATCCTAGGATTTTCATTTCCTTCCATGATAAAAATTTGGTACCACTGTCAGTACTGTGTATGTGATCTGATGGTTGTTTTGTGTAGGTTTTTTTTAGCCTGCAGATTATCATCCGATGTGAATGCAGTAGAAATTATGAATGTATTTTCTGCATACTGGTTTTCTGAAAGTCTTAGATAGAAATGGTTTTGTCTGTCCCTGGTGAAACAAAGCAGAAGGAAATTCTTATTTCTTAATGCATTTTCATAAGTTAAACAAGGCCATATTACTTTATGCTGATGGCATGAAGGGATTTTCCTACCTATTTTAAGAGTTACTCTGGTGAGCTACAGTTTAAATTTGGCAGTTCATTTAACCACTTGGAAGAAACTAAAGCATCATGACAGTTTAATACATGAATAATCTGTTATTTGAGCCAATATGTGTATGTACAAATATAGCTTTTGGAGAAAGAACCGAGTGGCCAGCATCTTCAGGGGCTGTGCTGGTGATACAAGAACTCCTATCACTGGTGGGGCTGTTCACCTTCCAGGCATGACCAGGGCACAGTCAGCCAGAACAACCCATGGTAAAATTTTCAAGAAACAATTCAGGCAAAGAATAACCTGATGGTACTTCCTTGGAGAGGTGTACACAAGGGGTAGGAGGACAGAGAAGACCAGTTTCTTTTGTTCCTCCTATGCACGTGCTTTCTTCAGGCTGTGCTGAATTTTTGAGATTTTTTTCTGAGCAATTGGAGATAATTATTCTTGTAAATGAAGGCAGGTTTACTAACCACACCCAGGCAAGACTGCACAATGGTTAGGAACCATAAACTACTAAAAGGCAGTAGAGAAGTGTGTGCAGATTCACAGAAAATGCTTTTGCAATTAAAGAATATTTTCGTTGAGGTTGCTTGTCTTTGTGTTTCTTCTGTTTTTGAACAGGATTACCAAAGCCCTGTGATACGGAGTGCAGTTTGTGGTGTACTACCAATTCTTTGTAAATGAATTTTCCAGGATTAGAAAATGGCAGGGAGGTCGTTTTCAAAATCTTCTTTCAAGACACCTTTACTGTCAAGTTGTTAATGTGCTTGGAGCACGTAGGTAGTGTGCTGCTGTTTTGAGGTTTGGTTGGAAGCTTTTTGATCTAGTTATACAGAAAAAGCTGTTGGCCAGTGTTAAACTATACAGGGTGCTACGAGTAAAATTTTAAAGTCTTAACCTGTATCTTGAGAGGAAAAAGCTCCAAATTTGGAAGCAGTAGATTGGGAACAGCCTGACGGATAATCTTATTTCTATCCATGTCTTCACTCCTTCTGAGACTTTTTTTTTAACCTTTGTTTCTTTTGTTTGTACAAATCACTCCTGTTGACTCAAGCAGCAGCATGAATGTTTACAGCTCCCCAGGAGCAGGAGGCTATTGCTCCCCTGGTGTTAAACCACATAGGTGCTTCTGTGAAGCTCTGTGCTGCAGATACAATGAATTGAAATGCTTGGATCTATGCAGGAAAAAAAGAGCCTAATAAACATTGTCACATGTAACACAGTTAAGTTGGACATTGTGCCGAAGTAACAGTTTGGAGGATACCATTTATCTCACTGAACCTTAGTTTGGAAAATGCAGCAGAAGGTCTTAACCTTTTGATTTTGATGTCAAAAACATTAATTGATTTTTCAGAAGTTGAAAACATGCAAAAACTTAAGGAGGAGTTAATGTCTTTTTTTCCTGCAAACTCAGACACCTCATAGATGAGTGGTCCTCACCTTAATTTATGCCAGGAACGCTCAACAATGTTAAAATAGTAATTGCTTTGTATGTAGTATTAATTTAGTGCTTTGTTAACATTACTGCCTGTGTTTTAAGATTCCATTTCATGTCCATATTCAGATGCATTTTTCCAAAAGAGTTATTTCTTCTTACATGATGAAACTTCTGAATGGAGCACCGAAAAACATTTTCTACTATAAACATAATTATTATTATGTTGGTTTTCTAGTATTGAGTGACTTGAAGTTGGTATATTCACTCAGAAAATGCAAAGAGCAGACCTGCTCTTAATAGGAAGGTGTATGTTTCTGATTCTGAAGATTTTTTGTATCAGTTTCAATTTGAGTAAGCAGGCTACTAAAGACAGCCCTTGTTTTTATGGTTGTAGCCATAATGACAAAGAACATACAGTCATACATTGGTTCACCTTCAGTGAAACATCTGCCTACGAAAGTGTCTGTGGCGCGTCCTTCCTGTGTCCTCCATAGAGTGCTCCTCTGAGGTTAAGCAGCAGCTGCAGCAGTTGGCTGAGCTGTGGCATATCTTCACTTGGTATCCATATCCCACCACTGCTATGTGTTTTGGAGCAGCTCTCAGGTTTTTCTTCTCAGGTTTGGAAAATCTCAAGTTCTTAATATGAATGTGTGAAGATGTGAAGACCTTGCATCCCAGCAAGTAGTTTGCAGATAGGAGAAATGTGATATGTTGGTACACGTTATTACTGTTTTTTTGTAAGACATCTTAAAGTTTGTTGCTTCTTTTCAACCACTAGGTTCGCCATAAAATGACACAGAAGGTTTATGCAATGAAGCTGCTTAGTAAATTTGAAATGATCAAGAGATCAGATTCAGCCTTTTTCTGGGAAGAAAGAGATATCATGGCCTTTGCCAATAGTCCATGGGTGGTTCAGGTAAGGAAGATGCGTGACAGTAAAATAATGATAGTAATAAATGCATAAACCTTTCCTAGACTTGAATTTACAACTAAGCTCAAATAATGGGTTTAAATTCAGATCGTACTTTCTTTAAGATGTATGTTTACAGAAATTTCAATGAGTTTTCTGTGTTTGGTTATGTTAGAAGGTAGATTAACTTGCATTTTGGTCACTACAAATACATCATACCATGGAATTACAATTCTGAAGTACAGAAGTAACCGTAAGGGTGCTGAAGCACAGGCACTAATTGCCCAGAGATGTGGATGCTCCAACCCTGGAAACATTCAAGGTCAGGCTGGAAGGGGCTCTGAGAAGCATGATCTAGCGTAGATGTCCCTGCTGATTACAGGAGAGTTGGACTGGATGTCCTTTAAGGGTCCCTTCCAAATCCAATGATTCGGTGATTCTATTTGGAAAAATAGGGAGGTAACTTTCCAGCTAGGAAGAATTCTGCATATGAATGTAGAAACAAATGTCAGCTTTATTTCCAGTCTTTCCTGATGATATGGTCACTTGATCACTAGAATTCAGTATTATGAATGCTTTAAGTTGTTAGTGGCTTTCTGTCTGCAATATTGTAGATGAAGGAGTGCACAGTTCAGGTCTCCTACAAGACAAAGCACTGTTATCAGTGCTTTGCTTGAAACCATCTTCTATTCAGTGGTGTGTTACTGCATCTCAGCTCAGAAGTAATATCCCCCAGCTGATGGAGAGTTGACTTTCTCAACTGTTCTTAAAAATCATTGCTTGCATCCATCTCATGGTATTTGTTATCACGTTTGTAAATTGGATTATCCCTTTGGGAAGGATTAGTGCTAAATACTGCAATTTGTTATATTTGGTAAATTACACCAATTAGTAAAGTTACACCAATTAATTAAATAGTGAAAGCATATATTTAGTGAAAAAATGTTACCATTTTAGTTTGTTAAATAATTAAAACATTTAAACCCTCTCTGATGCATTGCTGTGCTCCTGTAGTTTTGGAAAGTAAAGTTATACTTTAGGCTTTCCATGTTTTTTCCATAATATTCCTTATATATGCAAGAAGTGTTTCATAACTTTTTTCATGTAGGTGTTCTGTTCTTGTGAGCACATTCTGTGTTCTTACTTGTATTCAGTAGAAATACTTTACAAAATAGACTAATTTACTGATGCAGTTTTTTGACAAACATCTGGAGGTATTTGTAGTTTTTACAATTCAACTAAACGTGCAACTGAAAATAGATGTATGACAGTTATCAAGGGATAGTGTAGCAGGCATGATATAAATATATATGTATATATAGAAGGTGATAGAATCATAGAATCAGAATGGCTTGGGTTGGAAGGGACTGCACAGATCATCTAGTTTCAATCCCCCTGCCATGGGCAGTTGCCACACACTAAACCAGGCACTAGAACAGGCTGTCCATGTTAAATGAATCAAAATGTGGTTGCAATTTGTGCCTTCTGCGGTGAAGAGTATGGGTGTGATGTATATAAATACTTTGGTCCAAGGGGATTGGAGCTGGTTTTATGAAAACGTCAGTCCTGTTCTGAGTAGAAACTGGGACAAATGGCAGAGCTTCCGTACTCCTTCTATTTCATGTGAAAGAAGAGGTGAAAGCAGAGCCCTAGATAACGTTGATTTTATAAAATCCCTGAGGACTGATACTGAAAGTGCTGTCTCAAGGCATTATAAGGCTGTATAAAGGATTGCTATTTATCATTGTGTTAAATAAACACCTTTATGTGTGGGAATACAGAGACTATCTTGGATTTTAGTTCAGCCTTTAATGATTAAATAGATGTTTATGTTCTATGTTTTATATACTGTCCATTTGCAAAACAAATACAATGTTATACGTATGTGTATGCAGTAATGTGTGTTTGTAACACAAGTCTTCTTTCACCAATGAGCAGTAAATTTTACTCTAAAGGTCCTATCTCTGTAATAATTTTCCTGCCTTCAGTGGTCTCCCATATTTCATTGCTGAGTGAAATTCTTTGAAATTTCTCTCCTCAAAGTCTAAAGTACATTTTAAAGAAGCTAAACTTACTGTCAGCAGCTGCAATATCAATCAGACTGTAATTTCATTGTTAAGTCCTTTAGATTTTGCAACCATATTTAATTTTTTTCTCATTTCAATATGTGTGTGAGTTTAGGACAAAGTCAGCATTAACATACGTTTTTATAAATCTATATGGAGATGTTATATCTAAATTTATAGTATGTGAAACTCAAAAACAGACTAACATACTATTCACTATTGAGTTATGTTAAGATTGTTGCAAGACAATCCCTACACCTGTTGTAGGGAACCTGCTTTGGCAGGGGGGTTGGACTCAGTGATCTCTGGAGGTCCCTTCCAACCCCTACAGTTCTGTGATTCTGTGAAGACGCCTGCTTTCTCAGATTTAATATTTTGCATTTTCAGTTGTAGAGATATCTTTTATGTCAAGAAACACAGCAATTTAGACAGTCATGCTACTGATGTAACCAGGAAATCTTTTTCATTTCCTGTAAAAGTAGGGATTTCTGAAGTTTCAAGTAAAATTCAGGTTTATGCCATAATTAGAAACGTAGATTATTTGAATATAAAAAATAAAGTTATTTTACATCAGTAAAAATTGTACACTCAGGTTTAATGAAACCTCAGGTACTTTATTATTTCTCCTAAATGTCTCTGAAAAGTAGCTGCTCTTTTTCCTAATTTATTTTTCCATTTTGCAGCTTTTTTGTGCCTTTCAAGATGACAAATACTTGTATATGGTAATGGAATACATGCCAGGAGGAGATCTTGTAAACCTTATGAGCAATTATGATGTGCCTGAGAAATGGGCCAAGTTCTATACAGCCGAAGTTGTTCTTGCTCTTGATGCGATTCACTCCATGGGCTTGATACACAGAGATGTGAAGCCTGACAATATGCTATTAGATAAACATGGGCACCTGAAGCTGGCAGATTTTGGCACTTGCATGAAAATGGATGAAGTAAGTATGCAACTGAATAATTTATCATCTATGAGACTGTAATTCTAAGGATACTTTCACTTGAGTTACAATACCCAAAGGAATGCTTATCAAATGGTCCACTTGGTTGGAAAGCTGTTTCTTGTCTCCTATCTTTAAATACAGGAGTACTTTAAATAGTTGAACATTGTCTGTAATAAATTGTTCTGGCACATGGAAGGGGGAAATAAATTTATTTTTTGTCACTTTTGAAAGCATGCGTTTGTGAATTTCTGGGGTTCATTTCTTTGCCAAGTGTCTGAAAAGTTTATTAGACAGCTCCTAGTTTCAATATCAGCAACCTTGCAACAGTTCATAAGCTGACAGTTTTCTATAAAAGATATTATTTTATAGCAAGATACAGGCCCTATTTTTTTTTTTCTAATTGTTCTCATAGCATCCTCTAGTGGTCATTAAACTGAGGTCACAATAAGGCAGCAGTGGTATGTGATCTAAAGATTAAAATTTGTTAGCTATTAGTCAAAATGTCATATTTTAACTGTCTAGATTTTATCATCTGCAGCCAAATGCAGTTTTCTAATGAGGTTGCATAAGTGTAACTACTGTATTTTTAACAGAAGTACTACATGTATTCCTGTAGGAGACTATCTTTGTAATTTGTACTTTTAAATCTTCCATGACAAACAGTATTGTGCAATTTACACAGTATATTCTTCTTGTGAAATTATAACAGATTCTCATAAACTGTGTATGATTGTATGTTATCATTTATCAGGCCTTTGAAGAGTTTCTTTGTTTATCCTTTTTAAGCTTATTTGCTTCAGTGTGTTAAATTCTTTCTGTGTTATTTAGGCTGCATTTAGTATAATCTCTGCAATCTATTAGTTTGCATTTGCATTAAGTTAATATATATATTTCTATCTAGAAATGCTTTTTCTTTTCTTTTTTTTCCTTTTCTTTCAAATGTCAATATATTACTGCTGAACAAATGCAGCTATTTATTGACATCTCTGTTGTGCTGATATTGTTATTCTAAGGACATACACATTTACTTCCACTTTCATTATTTAGCTGCCTGTATTTTAGTGGACAGTATTTACTTTAACTAGAGAAGTGAAAAGGTGTATTTGATCTCTTAATTTAATCTTTAAATTATTATTGTGAATAATTTCACCAATTAGACTGTGAGTCTCAGGGGAATCTAATGTTCATCAGAAGAGGTAATAAAAAAGTTTCAAAAATTCATAATGTTGATCTACTGTAAAAAGTGCTTGTGGTACTTTAGGGAGCCTAGAAGTGGTGAACTTAAGCTGCTTTGTTTGTTTGTTTAGTTCTAAAAAAATGAAATTTTAAAATGTGGTCGATCATGTTGTAAATGTGAGATTGCTTGCATATCTCTTGCTATAGCAAGCTCCAGTTTAGATGAGGCATCATCAACAAATGGGTGATCTCCTAATGAAGTTAAATTTTAATTGGCTAAATTTTAAGTTCTAAATGTTTCTCAGACTCTGTGGAATGGTGAAAATATTTTATACAGGAAGCTTTAGAAGTTGAGAGGCGCTGGACTGTCTCCAAATCTCATGCTACTTCTTACAAAACATGAACACATCCCAGCTGTGTAAACATAATATTGATGTTGGCAAGATGATTTCTAGAAAATGTATGCTTACCCAACACTGATTTATTTTTTTCTGACTTGGAGTTCTTTTAGTAGTTGTGCATATCTTCCTCATGCTGTCGAGACTGAGGAGAACTCTGCTTCAGTTTGGTGAGAGACACAGTTTGGAAGACAAACTTTTTTAGTACTTGCTGGGGGACTGAAATGAGTGTTCTCTTATGTTGTCCAAGCCAGCCCAGACACTTGCAGCAGAATTCCTCCTTAGTATGTGGAAAGAATTGTTTAGTCTTTCAGTGATGTTTTCCAACATAAAAGGAACTGGCCCATTTATTTAACTTGACTGTGATGGTTTGTTGTTGTTTTTTTTGGTTTTTTTTTTTAATCCATTACAAGGTGAATATCTGTAATTGAGTAAAGGATGGGGCTGGCCTCAAAGGTTTAATAAAAAGAATCCCAATGCAGGTTTCACCAGACTCTATTTGTTAGGTTTTCTTTTAGTAATAAGCTAGACAGTATCATGACTGAGTACTGAGAGTGTTGTAGGGGCATCTACTGCTGGATGCTGTCAGGTCTGTATGTAACTTTGGCTTCTGCTGACTGAACTTTCAGGAAAGCACAGGCTTAAAGGATATCTGTTGCAAAGAAATAGGAGCGAAAGGAAGCCATTTACCACTTGGGATCATTTCCTCAGATAGCTGAGCTGAAAGATTAAACATGTTCGTCTTCTTACTCAGTTTATTTCACAGAGTCTCAGAATGGTTGAGGTTGGAGGCCATCTGGTCTGATCCTCTGCTCAGCAGGATGCCTGTTTCTCCTTGATGCTCCTCCAGGACTGCACTGAATCCTTCTTACTTCAGCTCGTTGTTGGTAGTGTAGTAGTCAAACCTGAGAGAAGCATTAACACCTGATCTGTACTATCCTGACATGTCTGCACCAGCACTCTCCAATTCTTGTTTGCTGATAAGATATTAATGAGGGAATTAAAGCCTCATTTTTAGCCTTGTTCCAAGACAGGGAGTCATTCAGGTGTACCTGAGGTCTTCCAGAGGATGAAACCAGAACTGCTTTGCCTTCAGAGATGTTACAGTTCTGTAAGATGCTGGGCAATGCAGTAGCCTTACAGCCAAATTTTCCTAAGCCATGAATGCATATTGTCTCTTTGACAACCTTTTTCTTTTGCAGTTGTTCAAATCTCCCAGGTATCTGCAGGAACTTCCATCAGGTGGAGTTCCAAGATACACCTTGGTGTATAATCTGAGGTGATGAGAAAAGCCTCAGGTAAAAGAGTAGCCTGAGACTACTGAGAAAAGAACTGCTGTACTGTGTGCTGTTCAGGCATCAGCGGCTGACAGGACTGACACTTTGTCCAGAGAAAACAGCACCCTTCAGATCTCTTCAGCTGATGAAGTGCAGAATGCAAAAGTCATCTCACAGAATGTTCAGTATGCCAAGATGTCATGTAGCACACAAGGGACTTCCCTGTTTACTTGGCTTTGATGCCAGATCACAGAAGCTTGTATGATTATTGTAGTAAGAATATCCAGTACTTAAAAATGTACACAGGGCAACACCTAGGTTTTGTTTTTTGCTTTTTACAGTATGATTGCATAAATGAGAATGACAGGAATGTGGGAATGTTCAGTAAGACAGTAATGTATTTTCAGATCTACTTCTGGGACAGAAGGCAGGGAGTTCTGTGGGGACAACTGCGCATGCTTAAGAGAAATACAGCCCATTGAAAACTGACATTAGCACATAAAGCCCTTTTGCCTGTAAAAATATTTTTGTTTAATTGTGTTCTCCTTCGACATCTTGCCTGAAAAGTTAGGGTTATTACCTGGAATTCTTCAGCATCCGTAAGATAATTGACAAGGTTTCTTGTCACTGTGTAGCAGCTGTCTGACTTGGGTAGGGCTGGCTTTTCTTTGGCACAACCTTTGCTTTGTTTGCATAAGACTTCATAAAACATTAACATGTATGAAATATTAAAAGGTGATCTTGTTTTGCTGCATTAATTACAGAGGAGTGGGAAATTGAATGTTATTAAGTGCTTGGGTGAGGAGATGAGGCTGGTCTAAGTACACAGCTCTTGTGACTAAAGCCGTGGTCTTCAGAGAAATCTTTCAGGACTCTTCTGCTGACGTCTGTTTAATGAAAACAGAAAACAGAAGTTCAACTGCTATAACTGAGAAGTTAAACTCCCCTTATGTTTCAGCTTCATCTTTAGCTTCTTCTTCATTGTACAAGAAAATAAGCATTTGCAATGAAGAGATTTTCAGTACTGCTTCAGTCTCTGCAGTATTTAATCATCACTTTAGTTTTAGCGTACCGGTTCATGACCTTCCAATATTCTCTTTGAATAAATAAATATTTTTGGCAGTTCGTATTCTATGTGAAAAGAATAATGTAATTGGTTGTCTAATTTTTACATGTAAATGCAGTTCCAAAAGCAAAATGATCCTTTTTATTTCCTTAAATATGAATTTCCATTTCAGTTGTTCCTACCAATATTCTGTACTAATATTCAGCCAAAGGTGATGGAAAATGCATGGAGAACTTTCAAAGGTAACTTGGACATTGGTTTAGGCTGAGTGGCAGAGTCACAGATGAGTGTATTTTTCGTACTTCTTTGGCTTTATCCGGGATTTAATTTCATTCATCCATCTGGTCTCTCTGGAATGAATGCAGTGAGTTTCATTAAAGGCAACAAGGCTCTAAGTTTGAAGCAGCATGCTGGCATATCTGACAATGTTTCTACATCATTTAGCTCCTGCAGAGTGGGAAGCAAAGAGGATAAATAATCACACCATTAATAAATGATTAATAAAAGAATCATTACATTAATAAAAATCAGTTATATTTTACTTTATTTTTCTTAAGCCCTGTTCTTTAAAAATAGCTTTTACTTTCAACTTAAGGTGTGACTATAAGAATTTGCCTATAATTTGGTGTATTGTTTGAATTACACATATTATGTATGTGCTACGCAGGACTTAAATAATCAAAGTTATTCAGAAGCTCTTCTATGAATTCAATGAGATAAGCAACTATCCAGTACAGCACATATTTGTTCATATTGAAACCAAGGGTAATACTACAAAACATGCACATTTTTGAAATGCTGTTATAAAGAGAAATGGCTTAGTGTAGCCAAAGGGGATGGTGGATTAACAGGATTTGTCATTTCAGTTCAGACTGTTTCTGGAATAAAAGTCAGAGCTTTCAAACATGTACCTCAAACCAAATATTTTGGATTATTATTTTTCTTTCTTTTTTTTTTTTTTTTTCCTGGTCTACTAATAGGCTTTCTGAAGTTTTGTGTAAGGACTGAGCAGCAGTTTTAACGGAGCTGTTTGAATTGTTGCTGTTGCACAGACAGGTATGGTGCGCTGTGACACGGCTGTTGGAACCCCCGACTACATATCCCCTGAAGTTCTGAAATCACAAGGGGGTGATGGTTATTATGGACGGGAGTGTGACTGGTGGTCTGTAGGAGTTTTCCTTTTTGAGATGCTGGTTGGTAAGTAGAATTTCTTCTGCTAAAAAGGTTGTGGTTTTAGTCTGTGCTGAGCCTCTCTTTGCTTTGCTATTAGGGGCTGGTTGTATGTCATTATCTAACAGCTTCTGGCTCTTGGTTGATGCAGTTGTTTCATCCCTGTTCCCTTGGCTTTCTGTCTCTCTTATGCTGTCTGTGTGTTTGCACAGCGAGGAGTTCTCTGACTTAGTTCAGCTTAAAACTAATTTTTAGAATATTTTTTATCTCAGATTGCCTACCTCACAATCTCAGTAAATGCTTATGCCATCTTCAGGTCTGTATTGAGTTGTTAGGGATGCAGAGATGGGAAATGAGTGGGAAGGACAGAACTGCTTTTGTTTTGTTTGTTTTTGTGTTTTCTTTTTCTTCCTCTCCCAGTACTAGCAATTTGTTACTGATGGGTCAAAATGTCTCTGGAAGTATGGCTTGATTCTTTCTTTTGTGCTTGTGTCAGGATTTTCCAATAAAATACACTGGATTGCTATGGCAACTAACATAGAATATAATCAGTTAAGGACATGAGTCATGTGCAACTTAAAATACTCAGAAGATCAGTATTACAGCCCAATTACAGAAGGAGGGAATTGTGCATGTAATTATGCAAAGTACAAATCAGAATCTTTTGGGGATATTGCAGATGTGATGTTTCTGGCATCCTGAGCCCTGAACGATGCTTTCATAGAATCACAGAATGGCTCGGGTTGGAAGGGGCTCCAGAGATCATTAAGTTCCAACATCATTGCCACAGGCAGGACCACCAACCTCAAGATCTGGTACTAGAACAGGTTGCCCAGGGCTGCATCCAACTTGGTCTTGAACACCTCCATGGATGGAGCATCCACAGCCTCTGTGATGCTTTGATATATGCTGCTATTGAAATCTCCTGGTCTTTGGGAATTAAAGCATTTTGATGTATAAAATACATATTTTGTAATTAATAGTCTCATAAACGATTTTAGCAATAAATGAATTTCTTCAGTAATTCAAATATTAGACATTTACTCAGGGACATGATGTAGCAGAGGGTTGTTAGAGTTAGGGTAATATGGTTGGGTTGCGGTTGGCCTTGATGATCTTTAAGGTCTTTTCCAATCTGAGCAATTTTATGATTCTATGACATAGATGCCCACAAATGTTTTCTCAGGGCTTGTTGGGTTTTTTTTTGTTTGTTTTGTTTTGTTTTTTTTTGTTTGTTTGTTTTTTTTTTTTGTTGTTTTTTTTTTTTGTTTTGCATCTGAGAGGATGGTCCCTATGTTATTACTGTAACCAAAACATCTTTTGAAGTGAAAGTAGAGAGGTACAGTTTTTGCAGGAGCTGAATTATATAAAGGAGCCTCTACTTGTTTGGAACAAAAATCCTTCTGCATTTCTCTGCGTCATCTTGATGTTATTCCAGGCTTTCAGTATGAGTGGCTAAGCTGAGGGGGCTTATATTTGGTATAGTTTTTCCTAAAATTTGGAGTTGTGTATTGAAAAATTTCTGACATTTCATAAATTTCATGCATTTTTCCTACCACAGGCTATCTATCTTGTTACAATATTTGAATCTATGCTATTTTTACAACTTTTTTTCCTTCAGTACTCAATGTCATTTTTTTTCTCTACATTATAGACTGGAATCTTTGCTTTCATTAGCTCTGTGATTTTCACACTTTCAGAAGGGTGTGAAATAACAGTTTTGTTTCTGTTGCAGTTCTGGACTTGTCAGAATCCTACATGTGATTAACACTGTACTCCTCCTGTTGAATTCCATCTATTGGCTTTTTGTGAAGTCTTCATGTGTTATTACTTTTTTTGTTGTTGTTTTTAATCCAAGCTTCTTTCTGCCTCTGAGAAGGGAATATGATTTTCTACCTGCGCAGTCTTTTTTAAATGCTTTTGAAATCTGCTTCACCTTTATACTGAAAATTACAGGGCTTAGTTGTGCCCTGTAATTTTTTTGGTTATTTGTTATTCATCATCGTATTCCAATCTGCATTGTATTTCCCGTCTAACAGCGCCAACGTGGTTCCCTTCAGCAACTTTGTTTGCAAACACAGTATTTGAGGCTTATATCAGATTCATTTGACAGTGTTTGAAGAAACATGAAGCTTCTCTTAGATAACTGTATAGCTTTTCTGGTTCTTGTAACTGAACTAGAAATAATTAGGCTATTCAAGACAGATCTACTCCCACATACATTGCTATTATGAAACAGACACCAATGAGATTGCCTAGGGAGGTGGTTGAGTCACTTTCCCTGGAGGTATTTGTGGAAAAATGGTGGTGGCAGGTGGGCATTTGGAGGTCTTTTCCAACCTTTTTGACTCTATGATTCTATGAGATGGTTTGGAATATTTGAGACTGCCCAACTCTGGAGGTGAGGAGGTGCTGGAGGTGAGGCCACATAGCACAGAGCAAAGCAGGGCAACACTTCCCCTCGCAGTGGCGGTGCTGGGCCCGGTGCAGCCCAGGTTATGGCTGGACCTTCTGTCTGTAAACACACTTTTGGCTCATATTCAATTTGCTGCCAAGTTTATGTCAGTAAATAAACTAAAATTAATTGAATTTTGTGCTTCAGAACTTTGGATGAAAAAGGTGGCTTTTTAAATCTCAGCCTTGGCTGTACTAATATGGACACCCAAGGTGATACAATTCGACAGTCAGCAAGATTAGTGAGTGCAGGTTTAGCTGTGCCTGATGTGCTCTGAAGGCTCCCCAGGCAGCTCCAGGGGCAGGGCTGGCCTGCCTGCCTCTGAAATGCTCTTGGGAGAGCAGTGGTGGAGGCTTTCCAAGGAATGTGCATCTGCAAGTTGTTAATGAGGTTCAGTCTCTTACACCCATGACAGAGCATGAAGAGATGGTTACATGTCAGTGTCATCACTGTGTAAATTAGAGAATGGTCACCACTCAGGTAAAATGTACAAATCACTGGGCAAAAGTTTTGGTAGTAATGTGTAATTCAGTGTGTAATGAAGGTGTTTTGTCACAGGAACATTTTTAGTAGTATATATTATTCTGTACCCTGCATATTCTCTGTTTCCTTCATTAGAAAACAGCCTTAGGCAAAATTGCTTGTAGAGTTTGTACCTCTTCTCTTTTTGGTCTTCATCTTACACTACTTCAACATTATTCAAAATCACAATCAGTTTACCATTTTATTTCCAGGTGATACTCCTTTTTATGCAGACTCCTTAGTAGGGACATACAGTAAAATTATGGATCACAAGAACTCATTACATTTCCCAGATGATGTAGAAATCTCTAAGCATGCAAAGAACCTCATCTGTGCCTTCTTAACTGACAGGTATGTGCATGTGTTGTTTTGGTTCTATTTCTGTTTCAGATAGTACTAACACATGTTCATTGTAAAAATCAATTTCCATTACACCAGCTAATTTCAATTCTCCTCTGCAAAATCATCCACACATGGGATTTTCTTATGGGGTATTTTTCTAGGCATTGTATTTTATTTTTTGGAGGGGTTCTGGCAGCTCTTGATACAATGTACTCTGTGCTGAAGAAATCCTCCCATCTGTGGCTCGGTGTGAAATAGAGCAGCAAACCTGTAAGGCTGGAAGTAGTTTTTGAGCTCTGAAAGGCAGGGAACAAATTGTGATGAAGTGGGCGCTGCTTATAAAAAATAAAAGCATACTTTCATGAAAACAAGCATATATTTGCCTACTTTGTTTGAAATTTCATAGAATGTTCAAACTTTTCTCTTTTAGCTAGTGTTACTAACTGACAAGTATAGCTAATAGAGAAAAAAGATGTTGTCCTGGATATAATTAAATCATCGAGTTCTCCCTTCATGGAGCTGAGCGTTTTGTTTTTTTTTTATTGATATTAATCTGTGTAAGATCATTCTTGACCTGAATTCTTAAATTTTCCTTAGTGCCAGAAAGCAGAGGTTATCTTAGATTTCTCTGATTAAAGAAAATGACACTTAGGTTCAAATTTAACTCCGGATTGATGATGTGTCACCACCTCACTTTGACTGCAGCCGAATGTTCAGCTTCTAGGGATTGAGGGATCAGTAGGAAAAAAGCCAACAATCATAAATGAATAAATTGCCTTATAATGGTTTTTATACTCACAGAGAGGATTGTTCTGCTCAGTTAAAATATATTTTAAGTGTTTCTAACCCTCAGTAGCTGCAGGGCAGACAGAAAACAGGAGCAGAATTGAATAACGTGAGTGCAGCGAGGTTTATTTCCCCTACGTGTGTTTGTCTTCCTGTTTATATTTAATGCAGCGCTCAAGCAATTTATTTGAAACAGATGCCTTCTTTCTGTGTGCGTGATCAGTGATGAGGCACTTAGAGGGACAAGAAGGAATAAGCATCCACCCTATGATTTATTAGTTCTGTTGCACGCATTGGTTTTATGTTCTCTTCTCACAGATAGTTTTAAGAGAGACTTCATTTGCTCGAACTAGAAGTTTCTTTTTGAACTTGAGATTTACTTCATTGTAAATATCAGCAAAAGACGTGTCAGGGTTACTTATGGGGCAGAGGATGGAATTCTTAAAATATTTATTTCAGTTCAGCCTTGAATAACTGTTCTGTGCAGTAAGTTAGACCTTCCTTCACTTGAGCCTTAAGGTTTGTCATGTGGTTTGGCAGACACCGGCCCTTGGCAGTTTCTTCTTCCCCTACGGTGCTGGCGTTTTGTTTTTCTTTTGAGTTTCTTCTGAGCTTTTGCCTTAGTGCTCTCTTTCTTGCTTTTCTCCTCACGTGGCAGACTCCAACTTCTGGACATTTAAGCAGTAACAGGGAGAGTGGATATTATATATTTTTATATAATTACATTTTCCTATGAGAAACTAAGGATCATTGGTTGGTGTGTTTTTCCTTTCTTTTTTTCTTTTATTTGACCATAAATGTGTTTTACACAGAAAATCTTTACTGACAGCAAGTTATAGTAAAAACAAGTGCTGTTTTTCCTAACGTGAATTTGGCTTAATTGCTATGTTCAGGGACGTGCGACTTGGGAGGAATGGGGTAGAAGAAATAAAGCATCACCCTTTCTTTAAGAGTGACCAGTGGAATTGGGACAACATCCGAGAGAGTAAGTAGATTAGCTTGAAAGTTGTATATTTGTTCAATATTTGCATAAGGCTACTTAACAGTAATAATACAAATGAAAAACACTATAAGGCTGTATAAACTAAGTAGATATTTTCTGGCTATCAAGAATTTTGCCTGAACTTTTTTATTTATCATTTATATTCTTAAACCTGTATCAGTAGGAGTGAGTAAGAGAAATGTCTTCTTTCCAAAAGTATTCTCATATTTACTATTTTAATTTATAGTTCTCTGTTTTGAATAGCAAAACTGAGTGTTTTAGAAATCTAAGCAGAAAGGCTGCTTGTTGCGTTCTATTTCTGTCTGACTTGTTATTGTTGTTTTGATGGTTGTCTTTTTTTTCTTTGTTTGAATTTTTTTTCTTAAACTGTGGCTAAGGCTACATTGAGAGTGGGCTTGTTGGTTTCATTGCCTTTTGTTTAAGAAATTGTGAACTTGATTGCTGTAAGAAAAAAAAACCAACCACTTTGATTCATGAGCTTGATCATAACTTCTAAAGATGTATTTACTGAAGTTTCTTAATATGGTGATTATATTTAGTGTTCCATTCTAAAACGTGATGACCTTTGCAAATACATTGTGTGCATAAGATATGCCATGTATTAAGCAACTCATGTAAATGCGAAAATACTTCAATTTAAGAAAAAAAAATATTCACAGTAATATTTAGAGATCTGCTGCATGATTAATACACATTTAACTAGCAGGACAACCTACGTTATAGGCTGAATCTTGGAATTAAGTTGATCTTTTCTTTCCTTTCTGTAGCTGCTGCTCCTGTTGTTCCTGAGCTTAGTAGTGATATAGACAGCAGTAATTTTGATGACATTGAGGATGACAAAGGAGATGTGGAAACCTTTCCAATCCCCAAAGCCTTTGTGGGAAACCAGCTGCCTTTTATAGGATTTACCTACTATAGAGATAATTTGTATGTGAGACTTTAATGTGTATTTTCAGAAATATACTTGCAAGTTTCTCATATAGCCTATCCTTTCTTTTTCACTCTAGATACTTAATTTATTCATTGCCTTATATTCATTTCTGTTCAATTGTAAAGATAGAAGATGCAGAGTTTAAGTAGAATATATCAGTTGTGGTTACCTTGATAATTCTTATGAAATAAATAGTATTTTTATATGCATAAAAATATATAGTGTCTTTAAAAATCTGTTGTAGGTTTAAAAAACTGCTAGGTTTGTAATTTAGCTCTAAAATTGCTTGTTGTTGGGTTGGGTGTTCAGAAAAATGTTTATGCAATGTAATAGCTTGCTAGGACATCAGTTGCTATCTACTTGCCTTTGTTTTGTTTGATTAATCATATTCAGTGTGTCTGAATAGAAGTGAATGAATTGGGTATTAAGTAAAAATGATAAGCTGATATGGACTTGAAAATGTCTTAAACGTTAGTCTTAGTTTTAAAAAGGCCCAAATCATTCTGATTCACTGGAATAAAACAGGCTTCATTCTGAGAATCAGTTAGGACAAAATAAGGCTTGAGAGAAACGATTGAAATGTGTTTCTTGGTGAGGTTGCCAGAGTTGTTGAAAACTTGAATAAGGGCAGGAGGGATTTGTTTTTGTTTTTGACAGGTTGCTAAGTGACTCCTCTCAGTCTTGCAGAGAAAATGAATCGGTGCAATCTAGTAAAAATGAGGTTAGTGCCTTTTTTTTTCCTGTAAGTGTTAAGGAATGAGTAACTAATTTTGTTAAATCTGCTAGGAGGAGGCAGAGTTTTAAGCAAGGAATCAGATATTCTGGGGAGCACTCTTTTAATGCTCCTCAATAAAAATGATGAATTCTATCTAGAGGACAGCAAGGAGGTGAATATATTTGAATTATGAAAGGAATCAAATAGTTGCCACTTAATTTGTGTGAACATGATATATCATTAAATACTGTCGATGTTTATGCACCAAACCGTTAACAGTGAAGTGTCTGTAGCAGCTTCTGAATGAACTGTTGTACTCGAATGTACAGGTACCGCGCTGTGACGATGAATGAGTACACATTTCTCTCTGATTCTTCTGGCATTTACAATTTGGTTTGAAAACAAATGTGTAGGGCTCTGTTTGCCCCAGACAGCATCGCCCTTGGAAAGGTTGTAGTTCTTGGCTGTGCGCTGCGGTTTGTGGCACGTTTATCCAGAGTTTGGAAAATTAAGTTGTCAACTGTAGTGACAAAGGAATGTTTTTGAGCATAAATCTTTCTCTCGGTTGAAGTGAGTGTGTGAAGCTCGTTTATTGAGCTTTTCAAGATCGCCAACTGAATTTAAATATGCAGATGAGAGGAGAATGCTACTAATTTTTCATGTATTTAGCTTACTTCATTACCCCACTGAACCATTTGCAATATTCAAGCGTAGTTTGTTAACGTTTGTTAAAACTTACTTAATTGTTAAACTTTGGAAAGGAAAGGCGTAGTGTAATGAACAACATAAATTTAAACGTGGATGTTTATTGGGCTCCACGTCTTTCCTTCCTGTCATTGGTGAATAGAATGAAAGTCTTATTTTCCCTTTAAATAAAAAAAAAGCAATCGTTCTTTCAAATACAGTTTCATGTTTCTCACATTTGCTTTCTATTGTGACAGTTGTTAAAATTTTGCATTTCACTTCTGACAAGTTTTTTCATTCTCATTTTCTCAAGCAGTGAGTCTCTCGGTTTTGATGTCCTTTTCAGTGTCCCTGTTTTGGGGATGTTATGATTTTGCATGTTGTATGTGCGGAGTAGAATAGGGATGAAGGAGGAAAAGAAATGTTTGAAGGCCTGAAGATGTGAAGCAATTCCAAAATTCATGTTTTATAATCTAGTTTTTTGAATTTTGGGGTATTTGATTCATATCTTTTTTATATTAAGCACAACAAAACATTCCCAAACTTTAAAACTGTTTCTAATTTTCTGCTTGTGAAAGAATTCCTCTCTCTGTGAGATCATGGTGCACGTTTCGTAATGTTCTCTGAATATTGTCCAGTTTGGTTATATGCCATTTTAATTTTTAAATCATGTATAGAAGAGACTGTCCCAAAAATTGTGCTCCAGACTCTAGGCAGGGAAAGAATACAGCAAATGACCAGAAGCAACATTATTTGCCTAAAGAAATTTTATGACTGTCACTTTGTGATATGTAATTGTGTGATTGTTTGCTGTAATGCAGCATGCAGCAAATGTTATATCATAAAAATCAAGATTAATAACTTGTAATGGTGAGAAATAGAGACGAAATAACCTTCTGCTTAGAAATTAACGTCTGTTGATGAATTTTAAAAAATCACAATTAATGGTTAAATTAATTTTCCATGCTTTCCCTTTTTTTGTTATTAAGCTGCTTTATACTTTTTTCATGTGATAACAGTCTTACTTAAAGACCATGCTTTTTTTTTTGACTTTTTTACTCAGTTTCAGAAAAAACTAAGCAAGTTAGAAGAACAACTCAGTAATGAATTGCAAGCCAAAGATGAACTAGAACAGAAGTACAGGTGAGATTGTTTTGATGTGTTTGGTATGTTTGTAAAGAAATATTATTACACAACGGTTTGGCCTCTCCCCCCACTGCCTGCTTATCTCTGTACTTCCATAAGAATGTCTCTATTGTTTGAGTGACTTTCCCAGCCCTAGACATTTAATGCGATTGCTGAAAATAGAATATCTTGCAAAAAAATTAATTGAACACATCCGAACACCCTACTTTTGTGTGTGGTCAATAGGGTTTAAAAATATTTTTCTTATTCCTTCAGATCTGCTAATACTCGTTTAGAGAAGATAGTGAAAGAGCTAGATGAAGAGGTAAGTCAGTAGTTACTAATTACTGGAATTAAAACGTCAGCATTTGTATCTGAGTTTTTTCTTTAGGAACCAGCAAATTATTTTTGGTAGCTGTGTATTTATGGCAGGTTGGCAACACCAGCTGATTTGTTGGTATTCCAAGTGTGTTCTAACTGTGTCAGTAAAAGGACTGTATTTTGCACAGCTTTGCACCTTAATGCCTACCGCACATGTATCCTATCTACAGAGGGCATGTGGAATGTGATGTGTTGTTCATACAGGTGCATGCTGAGATTTTACACTACATGGATGTTTCATGGCTGCTAGGCAGGTTACAGCATTTGTTGAATGCAACCCATCATACAGTCTTAGATTGATAAAAGCTCCTGGCTCTAGTTGGTCTAGGAGGGATGAACTTGTTCAGATGTTCTGATGCACTGTGTTTGCAGGAAGCAGATGGCACGTGTCTTTTTTCCACTTTGAAGTAAACTGTCTTTTAATCACTTTAAGATTGCCAAGATTCTTCATGTAACAAATGCGATTTGTTTTGCTCTTTTAAATATACCCAGATAACTTCAAGGAAAAATGTAGAGTCTGCAGTCAGACAACTAGAAAGGGAGAAGGCTCTTCTTCAGCATAAGAATACAGAATACCAGAGAAAAGCAGAACATGAAGCAGATAAGAAACGCAATTTGGAAAACGAGGGTATGTTGAACCTTGCTTGAAGGGCTCTGTTTTGATGTAGGCTTTTAAAATAGAAAAACTTCTTCACTACAGTGATTAACTGAATTGTTTTTGTTTTAGTTAACAGTTTGAAAGATCAGCTTGAAGATTTAAAAAAGAGGAATCAGAACTCTCAAATATCCAATGAGAAAATCAATCAACTACAAAGACAGGCACGCCAACTTTATATATGTATATTTTAAAGTAATCGCTTTCTGAAGTTCAGATTTTATTGGTAATGATGGGGGTTTGAACGTGTAATGGAATTCTAAAAGCTGTTCTTTCTTGTCATATATTCATATTCAAAAGTCATCTTGAAATGCCCCCTTATTTCTTTAATCTGTTAAATCTAATATTTTATAAAGGCGGTGGTAGATGTTACATTTTAATTGTTCAGTCTAAAGTATCTTTTTATCAATCCTAGTTGGATGAGGCCAATTCTTTGCTGCGATCGGAGTCTGAAACTGCAGCCAGGCTAAGGAAGAACCAGACTGAAAGTACAAAGCAAATCCAGCAGTTGGAAGCTAATAATCGAGAACTACAGGATAAGAACTGCCTGCTAGAGAATGCTAAACTCAAACTGGAGAAGGACTTTCTCAATCTTCAGTCTGCTCTAGAATCAGAAAGGAGAGATCGAAGTCATGGATCAGAGATTATCAGTGATTTACAAGGTATTGCAACAAGTGTTCTGAAGTTATGCTTATTTCTGGTTTCAGAAATAAAAACACATTCTGGTAATGTTATTTGAGTTTCAGACAGAAACTAAATTAGAGAGCTGTTTTATACAATGCTATTTAAGTTAGGACCTGCATTACAGAGAAAACAAGTGGGGAGATACTTAAGATGAAAGTGTGTTACTGATTTCTAAAACCACTGTGAAGAGTCTTAACAATTAGAACCTGAGCTTTTTATCAGTAAGTAGATACAGTACATGTTTTTTCACAGACTACACAGCCTCATTAATGTTTCGTTCATTTTTTAGGTCGAATATCGAGCCTGGAAGAAGAAGTGAAAAATGGAAAGAGTGCATTAGCCAAACTAGAAATGGAGAAAAGGCAATTGCAGGAAAAACTTACAGATTTAGAAAAGGTAACAGCAGTTCCTAGTGAACGTTTGTGGTACATTCCTGTGAGATTCTTACGGTTGGGATTTTTTTAATTGAGACATGGAGACAAAGTTTGAGAAATTAAGCCTTGTTTTCAGCATCAGTTCTTTTTCTGTGGATTTTTCTCATTGTTTTGGAAGTTTGAAAAGTGGGGAAGGAAGACCTCATTTCCCTTATGATTTCAATTCACTATATTTGTAAAGTTTACAGTAATGTACACCAATGTATAGCTTAATCATGAAGCTGTAGCACTTCATTTTTGCTATGACATCTGACCTTTTTAAACTCTCAGTATTGCCAGAAATTATTAGGAAAAAAAAAAGGTTTTGCTAATATTTTTTAGAATAAATTCTATAATATTTTGCAACTGGGAATTTCACTGCATACTTCTAGAGCATTTTATCGATGCTTTTCTATGGGTAGTAGAAGTGAATTCCAATGACCTTAGGATCTGTGCTGTGTCTTCATACTTCCAAGCAGTATGTTACTGTTGTCTGAAATTTCGTATCTAACCTGATGTATTTAATATTTTATTTTAATGCCCTTTTCTTGGTTAACAGGAAAAGAGCAACATGGAAATAGATATGACATACAAATTCAAAGTTATGCAGCAGAACCTTGAGCAAGAGGAAGCTGAACATAAAGCCACAAAAGCACGACTGGCAGACAAAAATAAGATTTATGAATCTATAGAGGAGGCAAAATCTGAAGCCATGAAAGGTCTGTATTTGACATCACAGTTAGACTTAAGCATAAATTATTGAGGGTAGATAATAGGATTTTTTAATGATAGTAGAAGTTTAAACGTAGTTATGTTTTCTCTATTCCCTTGTTCTTTTTTTAAATATGATTAGCTTTGTAAATCAGTTGTAATCCTCCTGTTTATGATCTTCTAGATTAAAGGCAGGCAGTTTTAGTCTCTTTGAGTGCAACAGAATTCCTGTTGCCAACATCACTAATCCATTTTCTGTGTTACGGTATTCTGAGCTAGGGTATTATTAAATTTATATTATTTAAACTGTTGGAAAGATTTTCAGAAGATTATGTGTGTCCTTTGTCAGTGTTGTTAAATCTCTTTCTAAATAAAATATATGTAAAGAGCTTAAAAATTTAAATAGATTACTAGATATTGTTAGACATAGTGAAGCCTTTGCTAGGCTTCCATAGTCACCATGCATATTCTGGTGTATCTCCTAACAATTAAAATGTCCTAGAGAGAGGGATAATTAGTAGATGATTCCAGAAGATGGTTCTTATTTCTGAATTAAATTGCTTATGTTTACTCCAAGTGCTTAAAAAATAACCTATGGATCTTATCCTTCCAAATGCAGAACATTAACAAAAATGTTGAGCTTGCAGATGTTCCAAAAAAGCAGAAAGATTCAGATATGCCATATGAGTCACTTGGTCCATCAGTTTTCTCAACAACTTCAACTCTCTAATTGATTTCAGATTATCACAGTCAAAGCAATACTTGATCTATAGGTAGAAAATATTTTTTAAGAGGAAAGCCGCTCTTTTATCCCTCTCAAATATATTGAAAATAAACGGGAATTTATATTGAAACTCAAGAGTAAGTAATAGTTCTCAGGCAGAAATGTGTGCAAAGAATCCTCTGGGATGCTTTTTCACAGTTTACCGTGAAAAATTTAATGAACCACTTTTCAGCAGTCTCTGTCATAACTGACAACCATTAGTTAGTGTGGGTAGATGTTCTTCCTCACCCCGCTCACCCCTTTAAACTCCCTGTTTTGCAGTGATTCATTTGCAGGCTGACCTTAAATCTCTTTCTTCACAGAAATGGAGAAGAAACTTTTGGAAGAGAGAGCTTTGAAGCAAAAAGTGGAAAATCGGTTGTTAGAAGCTGAAAAGCAGCGCTCCATGTTGGATTGTGATCTCAAACAATCACAGCAGAAAATAAATGAACTCCTTAGGCAAAAGGATAAACTAAATGAAGATGTATGTAACGGGGACAAAAGAAGTCTTAAGTGGAAGCTAGCTTTAAATGTCTTTGTATTTTCCTTTTGTTATAGCCATATTTAGGGTGTTTGTGAATATAAATGGCAGTAATTCTTACTTCTTTGTATTTGGAGCTTTAAAAAGTCAACTTTACAGAGTGGTTTCATTTTCCAGCATTATTGATATCGAAGTTTTTATTCTGGAATGTAAAATGCTAAGAAATTGACACGTGGAAAGACTAGGTTTTTATTGTGAACTAATAACTTTATTCAGAAAATGGATTTGTCTATTAAAAAATGTGTGCATGTTATACAATAATGTATGAAGATTGCTCCAAAAGTAATGCCTCCTATTTTATTGTGTTGGCCCACAATGTCATAGGTGGATGTTGGTGGTATAGCAGTAGAGGTTGAACATTTCTGCCACGTGACAGATGGCAGAATAGGTGCAGTCTGACAAAATGCCATTTGTCATGGGAGTGCTTATGAAGCAAAGGCTCATGGAATTCCTCCATGCAGAAAAAAATGCACCCATTGAGATTCACTGACAGTTGCTGAGTGTTTCTGGAGATCAAACAGCAGATGTGAGCTCGTAAGGTGGTGGTTGGTGTCTTTCAGCAGTGGCAACAGTGATGTTGAAGCTAAGCTACATTCAAGATGGCCATGCACTGCTGTTATACCACAGAATGAATCTTGATCTGAGGATTACAATTAGGGAATTGTGTCTGGAGCTGGATATTGGCTTCACTGCATTTGAAACATTAGCGGCAGCATTGTAATATTGCATAGTTTACACTGGGTGAGTCCCATGAATGCTCACACAGGAGCAGAAGGAACAACTGTGTGCAACTTTGTCAAGACCTATTAAACCAATACAAGGCCAAAGGTGAGAGCTTCCTGGATCACATCATTACCAGTGATGAGATGTGGTGTCACGCTACAAGTGAGAGGCAAAACAGCAGTCCATGGTGAGGCAACATGTGAATTCCTCATAGAAAAAAAGTTAAAGATGCAGCCCTCAGTGGGTAAACTGATGTGCCCTGTCTTTTGGGTTAGGAAAGCAGTGATACTTCTGGACTTCCTGGAACACAGACAAACCATCACCTCTGGCCTTAACATTGCAACACTGACTAAGCTGACAGCTCGAACTTACAGAGTCAGGTCAGAGAAGACAATCTTTCTCCTGCAACAAGATAACTCCAGGCTCCATACCAGTCTGAAGACTATGGAACACATTGCCAGTCTTAGCTGGACCGTCCTACCACACACACACTGTATATAGTCCAGATTTGACATGTTCTGACTTACATCTGTTTGGGCCGATGAAAGATGGACAGCATGGGTAGCATTTTCCTAGCAACAATGCTGTCGTAGCAGCAGTGAAACAGTCACCTCCACTAGTGCAGATTTTTGTGAATGTAGTATGCAGGCTGTTGTTCATCACTTGCAAAAATTCACAGCTAGTGGTGGTGGTGTTGAAAAGTAGTAGCTGAGAATTTCCTCTGTTGTACAGTGTGATTTTCCTCTTACTTTCTGTACTTTCCATGGAAATAAATAGGAGGCATTAGATTTGGAGCAAATTATATAGGAAGTGTCAATAAGAAACACTGTTTGCATGTTACTTCCCTGTGTAGATTATTAACCCTCTGGTTTCTGCTTATTTTGTAGGTTAAAAACCTGACTTTAAAAATAGAGCAAGAAACACAAAAGCGTTGTCTCACTCAAAATGACCTCAAGATGCAAACACAACAGGTCAACACCTTGAAAATGTCAGAGAAGCAGCTAAAACAGGAGAATAACCATCTTCAGGAAATCAAATTAAGTCTGGAGAAACAAAATAATGAACTCCGCAAGTGAGCAGAGTTGCTCTATTTTACTTTTTTTGAAGTATTGTTGATTTGTAGTTTTCGTAAAAGCCATTGATCTTCAAGATTTGTGCTGAAAACCTAAAATAAGAGAAGAAAGTGTAAAAGAAAACGGGGGGGGGCGGGGGGGGGGGGAGAACAGAATAATTGGAGGAGTTAAGAACCATGGATTTAGCAGAATGCTCAGGTAATTGATTTACTGTAAAAAGTATCGGCAGTCTAAGAGAGCTTATCAGAGTTGGCCAGTAATGCTAATACAGAGCTGTGAAGCGTAAGCAGGGGAAATATCCTGTATTAAGGATGTTTAATCAACCTGCTGAGCTTCAGGTAGACAGGAATTGTGTTGCCCTAGCAATTCTTCAGGTTCTTACAGTGAATAATTTGACTATTTAATAATATATTATATATTATATTATATAATTTAATAACTATTTAAAAAATTACACCAACAACATTCCTGTGACAGAAAACAAACAAACAAACAAACAAACAAATTGAGTGTGTAGATCATGTGTAACTTAGGCTTTGGTCTTCTATGACTTCTGAAGGCTTATGTTTTGATTCATCTTTTCTTCAAGCAAGATGCAGTTAATCACACAGAAAGCTGAATGTGGCAATTGCCATAAAAAAATAATGGTGGAAATCTTTTCTGCTACCTTGCTGATCTTTTTTTTATGTGACTGAGTGACTTTCTGAGTTATTTTAATAGGTGAATTCAAGAAGCGATTCCTGACAAAGAAGTTCTCAGAGACTGTTCTCTAGCAAAACCCAAAACAATCTGTCAGATCAGTGGTGTTTTACATGGAAATAACGTTCTATCAGTGGCTGTTTGCTTTATCAGTGACACTGCTGTAGCTAGTATGCTAACTGTATTAAACTGACAAAGACTCAGGTTGAAGTGCAGAATATAAAGAATGTGAATGCAGCCATTTCTTGCATCCAAACATTTTCTAGTTTGGAATCTTCATATCTTTTCTTTTATGTATTTTATTACTTTCTAGGGAACGTCAAGATGCAGATGGACAAATGAAAGAGCTTCAAGACCAACTTGAAGCTGAGCAGTATTTCTCAGTATGTATTATGCTTCATTACTTTTATACCAGTCTGTTCATTAGATATAACGTTATCTTTTCTCTTTCTCTCAGCCATGAAGCACTTCATCCTTCTAATTCAAAGTTAATTCTTTTTCCTGGGTCTGCCTTCTTTCTTGACTGCAGCCCTGTTACCACTCCTTGCTCTTGATCTCTAAGCGGAACGAAAGAGTTCATATTAAGAAATGGACCAGCTTTGGACGGGCATCCCAAGCACAGGTTAAGGGAAGGAAGTTGAGCAGCTCATTCCATAATGCAAATAATTTTCTGGACGTTTCAAGACTTTTGCATTCAGCATCTGGTCCAGGCAGTGTTGAAGCTGTATTGAAACAATCATATGGCATTACCAAACACATGCATTTAAGGCTCAGAAGGAAGTTATTGCATAATAACCAAACTTTGCAAAGATCCATTTTGCTTCAGTGTAATAGGCACAATAAATAGGGATTGTTAGAAATAATCACTAACATAAAAAGGTTAACTTAAATTAATAGTGCACTGCCAATCATACTAAAAGAAAAGGCCAAGGGTCTTGCTTGAGAATTGAAGGAAACTCACACTTTTACTGTGGTCTTTATATCAGTAAGGAGGATGAGTAGCTGGTCAAAAACTGCACATGTCAAAGGAGAGGAAAAAAAGGAAGGTTCAAGTCAGCTGACTGCCCTGGATGGCCCAGAGAGAGAATCCTGAGGGACTTCATCATGAAAGCCTTGCACTAAATCCACTGGCAGTTATCTGTCAATCAGCCATTCTTAGCATACAGAGCAGTGTAATTTTTCTTTAATTTCCTGTATAGCTCGAGGTTTGTATTCGCTGACCTATTTTTCTCTTCCTCTTTTGTCTTTTTCCTCTTGGGCTCTCATGTTGTTACAGTGCAATTGTATGGTTAAAATCCAAGCTCTACCTAATCTATTTCTGTTTCTATTTTAAAATAGTAGAGAAAAGAAAATTCAGTTTGCCAGCTTTATACAGTATGCTTACAAATGTATAAATTAGATTTCATTCATCTACCTGATCCAAATACACAGGAATTTTTTTTTTTGGGGGGGGAGGGAGAGTGTGTTTATTTTGTTGTTGTTTGAAAGAACAAGGGAACACCAAGCAAATAGCAACAACAAAAAAATAAAGCAAATAATATTTGGGAATCATTATGACCTGCAATGACCTTCACTTAAATGTAGAGGAAGCTTTGGATGGTTATGCTTGAACTGAGCATATGGTTAAAGAACAGCCTACCATGTCCTCTTGTATCAATTTTTGTGTGCCTTCGAGCTAGGTTATGTAAGTCACATCCTTTTCTTTCCTACTTCAAATTCTAGACTCTGTATAAGACACAAGTTCGAGAACTTAAAGAAGAATGTGAGGAGAAGACCAAACTTTGTAAAGAGATGCAGCAAAAGATACAAGAGTTACAGGATGAGAGGTACTGCTTGTACTGTTAACATATAGATCAGGGTAGCTTTCTCTTATTTTTGTTCAGGGGAGTTTGGTGGTTTATTTTATTTTGCTTTGTTGTTTGTTTTGTTTTAAGTAACCTCCCATTTTTTGAGTTAACAGTATGTATCAATAATTTGCAGAGATTCCTTGGCAGCACAGCTAGAAATCACTTTGACAAAAGCAGATTCAGAACAACTTGCACGTTCCATTGCTGAAGAACAGTACTCTGATTTGGAAAAAGAGAAGATTATGAAAGAACTGGAGATTAAAGAAATGATGGCTCGGCATAAACAGGAGCTTACTGAGAAGGATGCCACCATAGCCTCTGTGAGTAATATACATCATTATTTTGGTAGGGGTGTACGTGAGCATTGCAATTTGAGTTATCCATTGTAGTTTAGCATACTTAAATATGTTACACATTTAACTATTTATTTTCTTTGAATTAACTAGTTAAATATAAATATATATATATGTATCTTGTACCCTGTTTCTTCCCTGTATCTCTTCTGTGCCCCTGTGCTAGTCATCTTACACTTGTTCTGGTTTCTGTCTGAAGCATCTCCTTCTGTGCCGTAGTGTTTTCATATGTCATTGATTTTTAGATATATGGTCACATGTACTTTTTGTTTGTAGTTGGAGGAAGCAAATAGAACACTAACAAGCGACGTGGCTAATCTTGCTAATGAGAAAGAAGAACTAAACAATAAACTGAAGGAGGAACAAGAACGTATGTATTCTCAGAACCAAATACAATTCGTTATGCCTATAGTTTTGTTTCTAAAAATACTATTTTCTTTTGTAATGTGCTTTCATTTATATATTTGTGCTTGTTTGTTTAAATTACCGTGTTACAGAAATTGCAAAGTTAAAAGAAGAAGAAGCAAATATAGGAAATATTAAAGCACAGTTTGAAAAACAACTGTTGAATGAAAGAACACTGAAAACCCAGGTAAGCAAATATATCCAAAGAAATAAGTGTCGATGATTTAATAATGAAGTGTTCATATTTTTTCTAAAAAACTTAGCACTTCATTCTTTTCCTGATGAAGTAAAATATGTCAAATTTATCTTTTTTTGCCTCAGCTAAGTAGTGAAATTGCATCCTCTTCAGTTATTGCAGAGAAAGTCCTAATCTTCATGCAGTCCACCAACATAAGTCTTGATTTCAGTCAAATGAATTTTTCACTTGATTTAGGTTCCTCTGTAATTACCATAAAATGTTAATTCTGATTTTCGTATCAGATGTTTTTAACAGCAAGTGGCATTTTCATCCACTAGCTAATTGAAACTGAAGAGCATTTAAATGAGTAGAAGTCTTCTAAAGAAACATTTGTTTAAAGTGAAAATGGCAGCATTACCTTTATTCAGTTTTGATTAATGCAAGTAACTTTCTACTACCAGATATGCAGAGATCTTAGTTCACAGATTAAAAATGCTTGATCACAGGTAGTGGAGAAGACTATTTTTCTGCAGCATAGCTCTGTATTTATTTGTTTGTTTTTTGCTTCTGTTTCCTCATGGGAAGGCTGTGAATAAATTGGCTGAGATCATGAATCGGAAGGGTCCAGTCAAACGTGGAGCTGACACCGACGTACGGCGGAAGGAGAAGGAAAATAGGAAACTGCATATGGAACTGAAATCTGAACGAGAGAAGTTAACACAAATGATGATCAAGTATCAGAAAGAAATCAATGAAATGCAGGCAGTAAGATCCTCTTAACAAGTGTAAACATTGATACCATTTTCTGTAATGCTTAGTGAAATCGGTCGGTCTTGTAGTGTATACAGTCTCTATTCCTGAATTTCCTCGATCAAAAGAAAGATGCAGCACATGTATTGAGACTGACTGCAAAACCTCCATGATTTTAAGTTCAAATTTTCTTTGAGAAGCAGAGTATTGTGACAATAGGAAACCTTTATTTTTATCCTTACAGCAAATAGCAGAAGAGAGTCAGATACGAATTGAGCTCCAGATGACTCTGGACAGCAAAGACAGTGACATTGAACAGCTTCGGTCACAACTACAGTCATTACACATTGGTCTAGACAACAGTAGCATAGGCAGCGGGCCTGGAGATGCTGAGGCAGACGATGGATTCCCTGGTATGTTATTCATACTGATATTCCTATTTGAATTGGGATTTTTATCTGTTTTACCATGGAAACTGAAGTATTTGATATTTCTGGGGCTTTTTATCTTAATGTGTTTCTATCACTGACCAATGCTTTGATAGAGTTCACTATCCATGCACTAACTACTTCTATCAGTAATCATACTTCATTCTTAAATTTATTTAAAGATGTGTCTTTAAAAAACAGTATTGTCTGACATTGAAACTAATCCTTTTTCATCTTATTATACTGGTCTATTTGCAATTGTTATGTGATTAAATGTAAAACTAATCCTCTTTTTAGGGACACTGTTTTGACTTCTTTTCTACCTTTTTCCTCCTTTATTCTTTATGTTTAGTCCATATCACTCAGTCCCACACTATGGAATCCATGTCTTTTACCTACAAGCACTCTTCCACCTCTGTCAGTATTGCCACTAAGCCTTCCAGTTCTCGCATGCTTCTCGATTCTGATTCTGACTCAGAAGAAGAACCTTTGTCTTGTTCTCACAGCCCTACAGAAGTTGATAGCACAGGTGACATCCCTGAGACATGCTCGGTGTTGTCTTTATTGCTCCTTTTTTTCTATTTCAAAACTAACATTTACTAATACATGACTTTAAAAAAATGGCAGTAAGCAAAGTAATGACATGAAAAATTTACATGAAGTAATTGGCTTGTTTTATCTAAATGTTTATAGATGCTCATTGCCATTTATAAAACACTATTTTTATTAAAGCATTGAATAAATCCTTATTGTCTTGATCTTGAGGAAGACTATGCCCACTATCTTCAGCTATCTGCATGACCCTAGGATACCAGAAAGTCAAATCTTTGTGTTTCACTGAAGTGTTGAGATATGTCAGCCCTCACACTCTAAATGTACATTGCTTGGTCATAGAAATTCAGTCTTCTGAATGTTAACTTTTTTTTTTCCTTGCATTGAATCTTATATTCAGGGTTTTTTTTTGTAAGGAAAATAAAATTTATTTAAATTTGTTTTTCCTGATGCATAAAGAATATAATGAAATTATACAGCTCTGGTAAAACAGAACTTTGTTTCATTAGTTCTGTACCCTTTCCGTATGACTGCACTGTCTTGAGTAACATTTCTGCCTAGTGTTAATGTCAGAGATGGGATTTTCTAATTACATTCACATTTCTGTATTTTACATGGGGCACTTCTAAGTTGTGAATGTCTTTCAAAGGCAGAGCTTGTTTTGGAGTACTGACATTATTTCCTCAAACTGGAGTAAAGCATAATGCCTGTCTTCTGCTTATTTCATTCTCTGCTAAAAGAATCACTAAGTATTTATATAATATTTCCTTGTTAGCTGTTGCTGTGGTATGTGCATGGTTTTATTTTGTTCTAAAGTACAATCCTGTCTAAACTAGGACTATTTTCTAACAGCAGATTGGAGATAGGATGTTGTGGGGTTTTATTTCTTCCTGATGCTTACAAACATACTGGGAAAATGTTGGAATATTCTTCAAGTCTCTGTAGGCATAACAGAAATTCTACGAATACCTTAATCGTTGTTTGTTAACCTACATTAAATGTGGGCACAAGTCTGCCAGTGCCCTCTCTTGAGAAAGAAAATAGCTTTTGCAGTTGCAGGGCATGTCCTTTAACGGTTTAATGGTTGTCAATGTTAATGGCTTCAGAATTTTTAACTCAGAGAGGGAAGGGGAAAATTCCTTCCCACACTGGGTGGAAACTGCTATATATAGGGGTACTGTGAAAAATAGTGTCTAAGACTACAAGATACTACGTGTCACTGAGCGCGTGGGAAGATTGATCCTGGCAGGCTTTGGGTTACTACTGAAATGTGTACATCAAACAACAGTTGAGGAGTTAATGCTGTAGATAGATGTCATAGAATCATATCGTATCGTAGAATATAGAATCACAGAATGGCCTGGGTTGAAAAGGACCACAGTGATCATCTAGTTTCAACTAGATGCTATGTGCAGGGTCACCAAGCACCACACAAGGCTGCCCAGAGCCACATCCAGCCTGGCCTTGAATGCCTCCAGGGATGGGGCATCTGACTGTTGCAATGGTGTAGCATTAAATATCACAAGAAAGGGCAGTTGAATTTAGGCAAGGCCTAGGGCTTAGCCAAAAATTACTTACTCTGGAATAGAAATTCTAGGAGATTTAGGCACAATTAGAAATATGGAGAAATTCATAGTGCAAAAAAAAAAAGATATGAATTAGAATATAAAACTTCTGAATTTTTACCCCGAGTAGAGAGGTTTATTTATAGGCTTATTGGTGGTGGTACTTTGCTCTGTTTTGTCTTTTATATATAATTGGATGTTGCGTGGTCTACTAATATCTTTAGAAACATTCTTCTAAGTCTTAAAGGTTGATAGACTTTTTTAAAAGTCTTTAGAAATAACAGCAATAATGATTAAGGGAATGTGTGTGGTATCACTGCAAGTTTGCTCTTCCCCTTCTTCCTCTTACCTACTAGTTTATTGTAATCACAGTGTTTGTTATTGCTGTATGGGGGAATACACTAATTGATTTCTCAAAATTTACTGTGATAAACTCTGCAAGATGTTATATGTTCTCAGCTTTGCTCTGTTACTTTTTTATTGATCTTCAGTGCATATTTTTAAATGCACAGTAGGCTCAAAAAGAATGTTTTGTGAATACTTATGTTCTTCACTGTATGTTTTGTTTTTTGTTTTGTTCTTCCAGAATCAAGATTGGAAGGCTGGTTATCCCTACCTGTTCGAAATAACACTAAAAAATTTGGTTGGGTTAAAAAGGTAAACAATAATAATACAACAATTTTCTTTTTGCAATCTCTTATTGTTTCATGTGTAGTTTGGATTTTATTTTCGCTGCAGATTTTCAGCGCTTTCTTCAATACGTATTCTTGTAATTACTTAAGTGTATAGTATAAAAGTATAAAAAGTATAGTAGCTTATATGTAGCTATGTCTGAGGGTTACAGAAGTTGGACCAGATGAACTTCAGAAGTCCTTTCCAACCTAAGCCATTCTCTGAACATATAATTCTGTTAAGGCATTTTTTTTTTGTCCTACCAGAGCTGAAAACAGCTGCTTACAGACTTCAGACATTTGTATGTTCTCAACAGCATCATGTAACTAGAACTCATTACGGACTGGAAACATGCTTTTCACAAATTCCTTGTTTAAGAGAGAAAACTAACGGCTGTGCATCTGCGCTGTGCAACCCTCACTTGCTGATTGCTTTTCAGTAGCCTCTTTGGTGGTCTTTGCCCAAAGAGAAACCAATGCCGTTTATATCAGTTTGCTCAGTCAAACTGTTCATTCTGGATAAAGTTCTAGAAATTTGAGTTCTTAGGGGTACCTGATTTTCTGAACTTTGTGAGTGTGATGCCTATTAGTTGTGAGCTGCACGTGTAAAATAGGCATCCTAAGACGATAATTGCTGCTGCTCTGAGAGAAAATTAAATCTGTAAATTAGAAACTAAAAATTTTTGAGTTAATCTCTCTCTTACTTTCATTTTGATCTCCTCACAGATGCTTACATTTGTTTAAGTACCAACTAATATGACAATGTAAACTAATGCATCAGGTAGTAAAATTTCATAGTGCAGTTAATTTACTGACAAAGTATGGAGTCAAGATACAGTACTACTATTATGCTTTTAGCTACCATTCAAAACTGTAGAAAAATATTTCTGTCACATCTTTGATGTGATCAGTTGGATTATAATGTATGTTTTATTCTTTTCTGCCTCCTAACAGTATGTAATTGTAAGCAGTAAGAAGATCCTGTTCTATGACAGCGAACAAGATAAAGAGCAATCCAATCCCTATATGGTATTAGACATAGAGTGAGTATTAGCACACAAGATTGCTTCCTCTGGTTTGCAGGTGGACTTTGTCAGAAAGGCCTTTTAGAAAGATGTGGCCTTGTATCACAGTGCCAGTTGGAGTGTACTTTTGCACTTAGCTCTGTTTAGATGTTTGTTAGCCAACACAGAGCGCTCAACTGGCATAAGGGAAGTGCTTTCACTAGCTCAGCTAGACACCTCTCACACACACTGTAGCAAGAAATGTTAAGAAATCTGAAGCTGAGAGGCTATAGTTTTCAGTGTTTGTACATTTTCACTACAATGCATGCTTATAGGTGGGTTCTGTAATTAATTTATTTCCTTAACAAACACAGATTTTGGCTATTTGAAGGCTGGAGTCTGAACAGAGGATTGTGTTAGAAAGCTCCCAGCAATCACTGAAGTCAGCTTTTCATTGCTATCATTTTTTTTCATAAATACAGCTGTATATTTGTGACTTGTGTTTATTTAGGGCTTGGAAATCCGTGTGCAGGACTGAAAGACAGGATTATTGCTTGTATATTGATAACATTAATTTTTGTCTTTATTGAAACAATTTCTTACAGCAAACTATTCCATGTCCGACCAGTCACCCAGACTGATGTGTACAGAGCAGATGCCAAGGAAATTCCAAGGATATTCCAGGTATTCAATAATAAATTAATGTTTATAGTGTAACATGCATCACATACTATATTTGGAAACATATTCCTCTAACTTTGTCTAAGTGAAGCTTTTACTTCAAAGTTGTTGAAAATATTCATTCCAGTGTTATTCTTTGGTTTTTCTAATTCAGGAATTATTCTGAATATGTTTTTGTCATAAAGGAGTTCTGAGATTATTATGCTTTAATTCTAGATTCTATATGCTAATGAAGGAGAGAGCAAAAAGGAGCAGGAATTTCCTGTGGAGCCTATGGGAGAGAAGTCAAATTATATTTGTCACAAAGGACACGAGTTTATACCTACTCTTTATCACTTTCCAACCAATTGTGAAGCTTGTATGAAGCCTCTTTGGCATATGTTTAAACCTCCTCCTGCTCTGGAATGTCGCCGTTGCCATATCAAATGTCACAAAGATCATATGGATAAAAAAGAAGAGATTATAGCACCTTGCAAAGGTAATTAGCAGATATTTGAGTATGTGTATAGTTGCTGGAGTCACAAGGCATGCTAATGAATCACAGGGTCCTATCTGTGACACCAACTAAACTTCAAGAGGTAGGTTTTTCTTCAGTGGGTATGTAAAATTTTCTGAAGGTGTCTACAAGAGGATCAGCTCACTGTTATGAGTGAATGCCATGTGGGTGGATGGCTTCATACCTGCTGTGTTGTCAGCATCACACAGGTAGAGCATAGTTGTAAGACTGCTCACACTGTTGTGCAGCATTGCTGAGTGAAGCAATAGTGAGTTTTAGGAAATGGATGATATTTAGTGAAATTTTTTATGTAGGGGACATGTTAAGAAAAATAACAATTATTATTAATTTTTATTTGAAAAACTCTTACTACAGTGTATTATGATATTTCAACGGCGAAGAATCTACTACTGTTAGCTAATTCTACAGAAGAACAGCAAAAATGGGTGAGCCGACTGGTGAAAAAAATACCCAAGAAACCTCCAGCACCAGACCCCTTTGCTAGATCTTCTCCCAGAACTTCTATGAAGGTACAGCCAAACCAGTCCATCAGACGACCAAGTCGACAGCTTCCTCCAAACAAACCAAGGTAACACAAGAGCTGCTATGTATTTTATTGTTCAAAACATTTTACTGCAATTAATGTGATATATGTTGATATCAGTAGTTGACAACAATGTTGGCAACCACTGATATGTAATCTAGTATGTCATCTTCTGTAAACCTCATGTGAGTAATAAGAACCATCATTATGTTTGTTTACTCGTTCAAAGGACATTGCACTATCTGTTATTTAGCCTACCATTACTGATAACATATGTTACTACTGTTTCTGTGAACTAGAAGCTGGTAGGGAATATGAAGCTTAGATATGTCAAGAGTCATTAAGAGGGTTGTGAGGTTTTTAAGGAAACAAAACTGTACCTGATTAAAAGCTAAGCTATGACATTAAGTACTTGTCATTCTAATGAACCTTGGAGAGAACTGGGTGCCTTCAAAAAGCAATCTAGAAGAGCTTACGCATAGCAAAAGAATGCATGTCTTTTCTTTCTTGCTGGGTGGTTTGGAGGAATGCGTTTGAATTCCTGCCCCACTCTAATGTTAGAAACATCACTGAGGATTTTTGTGTTAGAGTGTGATTCATCTGACCAAATGTATCTATGTCTAGCTCTGCTTACAGAGTCATATATAGGAAGAGTTGTTTGTAAGATTGAATTTGTGTTATCCCAATAAAAAGGAGAAAGTAGGAAGGGAGCATAGAGTGCTCTTCAACACGTACAGCACAAGGTTATTCAGATGAATCTCTCTTTTGCATCTATGCCCATGCAGGTTTCACAGTGTGGTGCCATTTTCTGCATTGGTAGACATCCGTCTGAGTGTCACTCATTCTTTTTGAAAGAGAGCAAGTAGACATGAAGTGATGGTCACCATTTGGTCAAATAGCTAAAACACTTGCCAAAGGGTGGGAGAGTTGGTTTCAGCTCTTTACCCAGCCCAGAAATACTCATGCTCCTGTCTCATGTTTCCTAAAAGAGCAGTCTTACTGTCACGTTGCTCTCATGTGGGAAATAAATGTCTATAAAAAACAGAGTTCTATTATTGGATTAGTTTTAAAGAGCAAAATCCTATGCTGTAGCCATAGAAGTGATAACATTTAGCAGGTGGCATTTAAGTGATTGCACAGTATTCTGCACAGTATTCTGGATTTTTCAGTTTGCTGTTTTCATCGCCTAGCATACTGCTGGGTTTATTAAAGAGGAAAGAACAGTTAAGGTTATGAAGTTAATACTTGGTTGTATTAATCTCCAGTTTTTGACACCCTGTGTAAATTTCTATCTATCCGCCTTTCTTTTCTTTGTTGCCATATAACAGCAGCAATGGCCAGTTCAGCAAAGGCTTATTTTTTATTGTTGTTATTGTTTTTCACCTTTGCACTTTTGAGAGATAACTTGGGAGTGATAGTTTTGGTCTTGTTTCTGTGATCAGACTATCACCAGTATCTCAGCTGGCTGCTTGAAAACAGGGTTGGGTGAATCAACAGAATTACAATAGGGAATGCAGTGTAATCATGCTCCACTGTATTGTGATGCTACTGTAATCACAAAACAGCTCTATGTAGGAAGATTTGGATATTTAAAAAAAAGTGCAGTAAAATTTAATGTATGGTAATGCATAGCGAAAGGACTCAAACAAAGCAATATAACTTTCCTCCAAATTTCCCTTGTTATCAAATCTTTGATTGTTTACTTCACATACCTTAAAAGAAAGTCTGACCTTATAATTTGAATTTTAAATGATTACTTTTTTTTTAATTCTATCCATGAAAGTGAAGAATTTAATTGTTCCATTTTAGGGAATGATTATTGAAGGGATTCTTGGTGTAAAATTAGCCAAAATAATTGGATTGAAGCGCAAATCAATGAAACATTATTCATGGCAAACTGGAGGACAAGTAAAACTATGCTTCTGTATTTCCATATTCTGGTTGGTTAGCATTATTTTGTTTCTTATTATTGACATATAAAAGGTATTTAATAAATTCTGATTCTTTTTCCATAGCTATCCTTAATTGCTCAGAAAGAAAATTTTCTTGTTACACCATTCTTATTTCAATCTTCATGATGTTTTTTTTACTAAATGCCTTCATAACAGTACCTGCTCTTCCCATTCTTTTTATTGTGATCCTCCTCCATTCAGCTGGTGATTCTTTTTTTCCCCATTTCCTTCTATCCATATATTTTCTGTCTGTATATTTCGTATTTCATGATGGTGGGAGAAGGAGGAGGATGGATACATTGGTGTGTAAACGATTTTATGGATGCAGTTAAAATTTTCAAGTTGCCTTTTCAAATGTACCTGGCAGCTTAGAAGTTACAAGTGGAAAACTGTAATTCTATGAGGTCATTTAGCCTTAATGCAGGTTTGTCAAACCTGTGGAAATCTGTATGGATGTAAATACTTCTAATTAGAAACCACATACCTAAAAATCATTGTTGGTGCTATAACCAATTAGCATCTGACTGTTGCTTCCATGAGGTTTCCATTTTCCATTATGAAGATTACTGAGAATGAAAACCTAGTTGCCAGCTTAATAAGTAGCTGGGGACAAGCTGGAGGTGAGCAACAGATTGAGGGAAGAGATTTCACTCCTCTGTTCTCCACTAGTATGTGGTGAGATACTGCTGCAGATACTTCAAAGAGGACTTTTGCCAGCTGTGGAAAGTCCAGCAGAGACCACCAGGATGGTCAAGGCTGGAGTACTTGTCCTGTGAAGAGAAGGTTGGTGAGCTGGGCTCGGTCAGCCTGGATGAGGGCTGGCTCTGGGAAGCCTACTAGGCCTGTGGAGAGATTCCAGCTGAAGACAAACAAAAGCTTTTTCCCAGTGAGGATAGTCAGGGAGAGAGAGAGGGCTATTGGGGCTGGGTGGGCTCCAGCCTTATCATAGAATGGCTTGGGTTGGAAGGGACCACACTGCCTGCCCACCCAACCCCTGCCATGGGTTGGCCCCCCACCAGCTCAGGCTGCCCAGGACCCACCCGACCTGGCCTTGAGTGCCTGTGGGCACCCACAGCTCTCTGGGCAGCTGTGCCAGGGCCTCACTGCCCTCTGAGCAAAGAATTTTCTCCTGACATCTAACCTAAATCTCCCGTTCCCCCTAGTCCTACCACAGTCAGACCATGTAAAAAGTCATTCTCCCTCCTGTTTATGACTTCCCTTGAAGTACTGGAAGTGAGGTGCTGGAGTTTTTCAAGACCTGACTGCAAAAAAATCCCAGAGGTCCTGGGCTGACGTTTGGAAGTTTAATTTAAGTGTAATAACTTTAAAAGCTGAAAAGCCATTGAAAACTGAAATCTGCTTTGTTTAAAGGATGCAATTAACTAAACTAAACACTGTAGCATGTTATATTTAAAACATCCTAAAGCTTTTCTTTAGTGTATGGTTTTTATCTCTGCTTCATATAGGTGGCATGTAATCCTGACTTCAATCCTGAGTTCACTGGAAAAATGACCAGATTGAGTTTCATTTCCTGTACATTAAGGAGTTAGTACTTCAGATGTTCATCTGAAATCCTTCTATAGTAGCAGAAAGATGAATGCCTCTAGACAATGATTCATCCCATCCCAGCATAAGTGCCTAAAATAGGTGAAATGACTCATTTGCTGAAATAATATGCTCTCCATTCTGTAGGAACATGGGCAGTGATGCATAGAGAACAAGTTGATACATCCTCTTTTTTGGCATAGCCTAAGTTAAAAACAATGAGGCTACAGTACATCTGTCTAGGGTGATCTCACTGTATTTAGGATAAATGGCAAAATCCCACTGTATTTGTGAGCTCAGGTGACACTTTTATTCAGTGTTCTATTCAACAACCAGATTACTCAGTTTTATTAAAAAGACATAGATCTGAAAGGGATGGTAGGTGAGCATGAAGCTGCGTGTTGGTCAACAGAACTGCAGCAAAACAGAAAGATAATTTTATGAAATGTGTGCGTTGGTCTTTTCTACTGAAATTTTGGGGGAGAATAAGCAATACGGTAAGTGTTCTGTAGAATTTAATTACTTGTGATGAATCTCCTTTGAATACAATATTTGTGGCTTCCCGAACAGCAATTGAATGTTCATACTCCATAGCAGGCAGAGGAAGGAGCCCATCTATGTTAAGACAGTTATTTTAAAAGTTATAGTGATAATAAATGGAATTTTGAAGCTTCTTGTAGGAGTGTGACACACATTAAACATCAAACCCTCCTGTTGCAGATTACTTGATCTGGCATTTAAAGACTGGGATTGGTCATTTGATGATGTTGATGATATTGATGATGATGATGATGATGATGACGATGTTTTTGATTTCTGAAGAAGTATAAGGGGTAAATCTAAATAGTGAGGAATGGATTTGTTTGCCTTTGAATACAGCATGCTATGTTGGATTTTGATTCTCAAAGCAGAGAAAAGTACAAGATCTCATTTTGAGATTTTACACAGTAAAAATGAGATTCTGTTTCGTGGTGTCAAATTCTTTTAGAGGAGCCATTAAAATGGTGTTTTTGCCTTTTCGGTGTTCTTATTTTTCTAATTTTAGATCTTTGTTCAAAATTCATGTCTGCCTGCCCCAAAAGAAAGTATCTCTTGTTGTCAGAGTAGTAGTTCATCTGTAGTGCTAATGCTGCTAACCTCTGCAAACAATTACTGAAGGCTAAAAAGGGAGGTTATAACAGTTGGAATTTACCTAAAATACAATTGCTATTTACAAATAATTTTTTTCTTAAGCTTTTAACCTGAATTGATGTGTCCATGGCTAGCAGACATGAAATCACAGTTCTGCATTTTGCTTTTTCTACCTGTGTTATGAAGTGAATTTGACTTGGCTTTCCTTTGCAGTGCTGTGCTTTTTGGGTACCTAACAACGTGTTATAAAACTATGTAAACAAACAGGCTTTGCAGCTTCTGTGGTGCGGTTTCTTTGACTGCTTTAGAACAGATGCAGCTGTGTTCTTGATCTAATTTGCCCCATGGCTTACCTTAAAAACACTGTGAATGTACTTGGACTTTACCCTCGTATGTTACAAGGGGGATTAATTGTTTTGGGCTCATAATGCGTAAGGTTGTACTAAAGTACTATGATGCTGTTGAATGCAGAGGAATGACTTTTTCCCAAGCTTACTGATAAGGTCATCTCAAAGAAGGATTCTGAGGTATGTTCTTGTCACACATTCATTCACTGCCTGTACTGACCAAACTTTCTGCTTCTTTTCCAGCTAACTGCTTTCCATGAATGCAGACGCAACTCGAGGTGATAATTTTCTTCCTGTTACAGCAAGACTGAAACATATCCCAAAATATATTAAAAATATATATTTTCCTGAGAGATTGTGCTATATATATCAGAGGTTTACATTTTTGCTGCAATATAAATTACTAATCTCTGAGGGTTTTCCTGTATTCCCCCGAGTGACTGATCAAACGAGGAATGGCTGGTAAATACTAAAAGGATATGTTAGGTCACCTTTTAAATTCTGTTCCACAAAAGCTTTCTCGGCAAGACACATACACTACATTTCATAAAAGGATTGAGAGCAATGAGTATTTAAACTGAAGAAAGTGACTTCTCAGCTTTCATGAAGATGCCACCAGCATGCCTGCGAGAACAGGAGGACGATCCATCGTAGTGATATAGACTGCATCTGTAAGAAGTGACCATTATACTGTGTATATATATTGTACTGTAATACTGCAAGAGGGTTTTAAAAATCTTTCCACTTTATTTTTTTATGCTTATTAATCAGATACCGTTACTTATTGCAGTTGCAACTATGCACTTGTATAAAGCCATAATGTTGAAGTTTATATCATTCATACATGTCTATCAAAAGCTGCATGTCAGTGTTCAGCAGCTAGTTCAAAGTATATGCTAGTTTCAGCTGCGTCATCATGGGCAGTCCTGTTTTACCTGTCTAATTGCCTTAATTTAATTTTTTTTTCGAGTTTTTTTTGGCCCATTCTCTGTATTTAAGGAAAAAAAGGTTTACCAGCTCTTAGGATGCAATTTTGCTTTGTGGCAGAAAAAAATAGTGCACTATTTTTACACCTAGTAGGTATATCAATGTCAACTTACTTTGAATGTATATCGACTGGTTTTGAGGGTGGAGAAGTGTTGGTTACAAAAACAATGTCTGATAAGAATGGACTTACTAGACCACGTGTTTATACATGTAACTGCTCATCCAGCCCTTCTTACAAACCTCAATATAGTTATTGACTTATATTAACCCTCATTAAGTGCTATGAAAACTTCATTTTGCCTTGTTTTTGCATACTCTCCTAGATGTGTGTTTATTTCTGGAAGAAAAAAAAGAGAATCTGTGATTATTTTTTACATTTCACAACACAACACCCAAGAAGCGTCACAGACTTTAAAGAAAACTAATACATACTGTAGATGTATTTTAAAGTTTTAAATCTGGTTCTCTAGCACATAGCTGTAGGCATAGATAAATATTCCAGTAGTGTGTTTTGAGAACTGATAGCTGGGAATAAAGGGCCTCAGAGGCACTTAATTGGACTTTTTTTTTTTTTTTTTACTTGGGAGTTGTACAAAAAATAGAGTTTATGTGGACTCATTCATGATGCGTTCATCATTATCCCAGAAAATGCATGTTTTATACAACTGCAGTATGCTATGTTCAACATATTGACAGTAAAAAATGTAGTCTCCTATTTGGTCTCTTTATATATATAAATATATATATATATTTAAAATATATATATATATATAAACTATTGTGTGGGAGTGCAGTAATTTAAAATATGATCTAACACTTCAATGAAGGAGGACATTTCACTTTAAAATTTTGTTTGTTTGTTTTTGTTTTTTTAAAGAGTGTTGAAATGTTTGGAAGGATAGGACCATGATTTATTTAACACTATCATGAATGGTGGACTTGGAAACACTGAAATACTGAAAATGAATAAATATATTTGCATTTTGTAACTGCAGTTCAGCTTAACAGAGCCAGAATGTATTCAGTCTTCTATTTATGCACTCGCAAAGTAAAACATTGTTTGTGAGTTCTTAAATCCAGACCTAAATCTTTCGTATCATTTCTCTTTAGGTATTTTAACCCAACGCACAGCTACGGTGTTTTTTCCCTGCTTGTTTGGATTTACAGAAGTACGGTATATTTTTAGGTCAAGCAGATTTGCGTAGAGTACAACATTAAAAATGTATACAGTAAAACTGTTTCCATTCACTGAATGCATAAATATTTTATATATAAAAAAAAAAAATGTTACATTGTGGGAAGTTCTATCCTTTTCTGAATTGGAGAATATTATATATATATTTTTAAATAAACTATTTGAGTAAGGTAAAATAGTTCCTGAACTTGACAAGCTGGTAATTAATTGAAGTGTTGAAACATATAGGCAACTACTGCAGCAGATATGGGGAAGGCAAAGCCAAGCAGAGGCTGTGTGGAGAAGAAGGGCATGCTCTGTGGAGTTGGTTTGCAGCCCATCATGTACCAGGTTGGATCTGTTGCACTTCCTCTGCATGTCTTGCCCTCATCTATTGTGAATCCCTACAGCCCTGTCATGCCTGGTATTTTAGGAACTGTATGTCATACAGTATTTACTAGCTGCAGTTTATACAGTCTGTACTTACAGAAATAGTTACTAGCTACACATACAGCAGGCTGTATTGAGAAGGTATTGTAGAATGATAGGGGCTGAAATGGAGCACAGTTTGCTGGTTGGACCTCTCCCATAAAGCAAGTCCTCCTTAGAAGGGGGACCTCGAGACCTGGTCTCTTTGGGTTTCCAGTGCCTCTAGGGATGAAAGTACTGTAGCATTCCTCAGCTCTCCTACACGCAGTTGTGTCCCAAAAGAAACAAACATGTAGGCAATGTTGAGCTGTAACGTGGAGGTCATTTGGCCAATAGTATGATGTGAACAGCCTTTGTTTTGTACCCAGGACAGAAAAGCCAGAGCAATTCTTCTGTCCCTCTTGCGTGTCAGAGCTTTCATGTGCTGATCTGTGGATTGAAAGGACCCCATTAATATTAGTTCCTGGGGGTTGCAGTGTCTCCCTATTGTCTGGTATTTAAAACTGAGAGAAGAATATCAGGGACTGGATGTTTCATATGGTTTATTTTTGTCACAGGGCTGTTGCAGCAGACAGAACATTTTTATGGCCTGGCTGATTTTATCTAAAAAAATTATCTTATTGCAAGGCCTGTTGTTTCACAAGAGTATACAGACACAGCCAAGTATACAGCCAAGCTGCAGATTAACCTTCTGGAAAAATCAGGGCTCAAACTGGGAGCCAGAAGCTCAAGACATGTACAGACAAGTTGCTGTTGGTTTCCATCCAGGAGCTCATCAGCACAGAAGCTGGACGAGAAGCCCCCATCTGAGCAGCATGTCAGCTGACACAAAGGCCTTCCTGAAAGTACATTTCCATGACTGCCCTGGTTGTGTGCTGCACTTCCACAGTTCCAGTGGCTCCTGCCAAAGCTCAGCCCCTTACAGCGATGCCGGATGGAGCACCAAGCATGCGTGCAACAGAACTCAGAACTTCCTGCACTTCTTAGCATGGCTGATGCTGAATCTAAAACGTGATATAGACCACAGTTCTTCCAAGGATTTGGAAGCGCAGAAGCTGAAGTACTTTGACAGTCAGCAAATGTGAAGAGTCACTGATGTTTCACTGCAAGTGTCTGGATCTTTTACCATCTCTTGAAGATGCTGGATGCTTGGCAGGCACTCAGCAGCTCTCTTGGGTCACTGTGGCCAGCAAGCTTTCTGCTGGACACAGCGTGCTTTCTGTGTTCAGTTTCTCAGAAGTTCCGGATGTTCATTTTGGAGTGTGAGTATTTGTAATATAATCTTGCAGTGACACTGTAAGCTGCTTCAGGGACCATCAGTGTCCCATGGACCATGGGGGTTTGCATACTGCTTTGAAATATCTCTCATAAGAGTGGGAAGGAGTTTTCATTTGAATCTGTTTAAAAGATGTTGACAGAGCAGTTCTGAAACTAATTCATGCTCTTAGTTACAGTTGCCTGTGAAGCAGGTGACATACTCAGACATGCTCACATGAGCCTACTGAGGTGTATGTGGCAGAAAAGAATACTGTCTGAACACTGCTGGTGTAGTTTGTTCCAGAACTGCTGCAGTGAATGAGAGAGCTCCCTGTAGCTCCAAGATGCCTGTGAGGACTAAGCCTTACTACAAAGTTTGGGATTTAGAATCTTTACCCCTTTGTAGGCAGGAAGTAGTGTTCGATCAGGGTAAGAAAGGCACGTTACTTCCTGATACTTGCTATTGCAACCACGCTGCAAGATTTGATCAGTACTGCTCTTGTTCCACTGATCTTACAGAAACCATGAGATTAAAGTGATCTTTCAAAATGAAAGACACGGTGAATGCACTGCTGCACGAGGGAGCAAAATTATGAAGTCTTGAGTGTATGCAATCCTACATACCTAAAGAACTCTGGAAGGACGTATCTTCACCCTGAAAAGAAAGGGCAGAGAGCAGCAATTCTGTGTCCCTGTGGCCTTCTTTAGGTTGCTGGGAGGAACGACAGAATTGCCTTCTCACACCTTGGTGGAACCTGTATGTAGTCACTCAAAAGTGAAAGAGGGTAACAAAAAATGTTTTGCATAAGCTCAGTTTATGCTTCAGTACAGTCCTGACCACGTAATTTACACAGGGCACTGAGGCATAGAACGCATGCTCTTCTATTTACACCTCTAGTATGGTGTGAGACAGGTCAGCACTTTGGTACTGCTGACTGAAGCCTCCAAAAGCAGAAATAGTCAACGTCCCAAAGAGCACGTGCACTGAAGATTTCCAGTTACAACAAGGTGGTAAGTAAAATTGGTTTTTTAGCATGGAGCCATGTTACTATTCAATTTTAATCATCATTAGCTGGCTCTTCTTGCCACACTGAGATAGTGCAGGTTCTGCCCTTTCATTTCCAGAATGCTTGACGGATAAAACGAGATCTCAGCCCTGTTCAAGTGCTCTTCCTGTGAATAAATAATACCACATAATATAAGGAAGCACTTGTTTAGTCTACGCACAGTCTAAGCTAGCTCTGCTGAGCTGGATAAATTCCAGCCTCAACAACAGAAAAACAGGACATGAATTAAATCATGACAAATATTTAAATTGTATTTAGGATATCCCCTTAAATTTCATCGGGAGTAATACATAAGATCATTATGTCTGTATTTTACCTCCAAACCAAAGCTTGAACATTTCCAAGAAGGATTCTTGCCCCCAACCACTACCAAGGAAGGAAGGACGGACTGGTTGATGTCCTGGAGGTGTCTCTCTGTCTGCTATCAGGCAGCAAAGGCTGAGCTATATCAAGGCTCGGCTCTGTCCCTGCTGAGGCCTCAAGCAATAGCATCCAGCACGTGGTGAACTGGCAGGTCCTCATGGTACTGTTTGTCGTGGCTCTTGGGAGCCTATCTGACCTCACCAGCCCTTACCTCTGAGAAATAAAGCTCAAAATCAAGCAAATTAAGCCCTGACCAAAATCAAGAATTTAATAACATTTGATTCAAAGGTTGTTGGGTTTTTTTGTTTTGTTCCCTGTCTGCCAGCCCACTCCTTTCTCCCATTTCACTGGATTGCATTGGCAGGACCAGGTTGAGAAGCAGCTACACACACACATAAGCCAGCAGAAGAGGTCCCAGAACAGGGAGCTGAGTGCTCAAAGCTGTAAAATCTTTTGCTGGATTAGTGCAATGCAAAGAAACACATCTGAGCCTGTGTGCTCTTACTCCATGCAGAAAGCTAAGTCTTATGGAGGGAAAGTCCTGGGTTTGCATGTGTGATCACTGATCACAGTTCAGAAACAGGCTTTTGGGAAAAGAACCATACCCATCTTCCACTGTCGATGCATCCCTTCTTTTAGAGTTGTAACCTGTTGTCTGCAGTCACATCCTTGTTCTGCCTTTGGGCAGCGGGTCTCAAGAGAAATGCCTCCTCTGACGTACTGCTAAAGAGAGCTTTGTTGCTGAACGCATGCTGTAGCTTAACCACTTAACATAGTTAACACAGAATCATAAAGTCACAGCTGGAGAGACTTGGGGCTGCATTCAAATTTCACTGGCCTGTACTAGATTGAAATTTAGTATTGATTGTTTGGGCAAGACAACTCATACTTCTTGTAAGCCCTGGTAGGTCCCACACTTTCCAACCCAGGGAAAGCAATTTTACCCTGTGAACGTGTTGTCACCTGATGCAAGCAGAGGCTGTGTGGGTGATTCAGCACTTCAACACGATCTGCATGTGGAGAATTACCTTCACCTCTGTGGACAGAAGTTGCTTACTGCCTTTCAAACAATAAACAGACCTGAGCTGCTTTCCCTGTTTGCTCTGGGCCACCTGCTGCACCGTGCAGTGAACAACTTGCTTGCACCCACCCCAATAACCACTGAGTGACAGGTTTAACAAGATTTATCCTTCTCTTTTGTCTAAAGCTACTGCCTTTAATCCAGCTACTTGAGAAGATTATGGTTTACAGATAGAAGGCCGCAGGATCTATGCTTGTATGGGGCTTGCCCAAGACTTGACCACAATTCTCTACTTTACAAAAAGAAATGAAATTATTCTTTGGGAGAAAAAAAAAAAAAAAAAGAAAAAAGAAAGAAAAAAACCCACAAAAAACAGAGAGAGAAAAGTACATACAACTACCACCACCACCTTCTGACTTGTTCATATCCCACACGGCTTGAGAATTCGTGGTCCAGCTTTCCAAGTCCATAGAATTACTCTACTTAAGCTCATCATTTACCCAACTGTTTCTTTCCTTTGTTTCCCACAAGTTTCCAAGATTTATCCTCCATACATCAACTATCTTTTGAAGAACTTACCTTAAATGCATTTCCAACATTTTATGATGGAAAAACAAGTGAAGTGCTGATGATCAAACCAGAAGTGGTCTCAATTTTCCTACAGAGTCACTGAGGAGGTTGAAAGACACCAATAACAGAGTTCTGAGTCCAAACAGAGCATTGTCTATTAAAACAGATTAAAAAACAGATAAGAGATGTGTGTTTTGTTCCTGTAAGGTGCTGGACCTCTCCGCATTGTACAGGTTGACTGATGTACAGCCTGATGCTTTGAGTGTTAAAGTGAAGGCTGCCCATTTATGGCCTGAAATGAACCTTTTTTTCTCTTTTCGTAAAAGGACACAGAATAAAAACATTGAACACAATGAAAACTCACAAGAATGACATTAATCAATCATGAAGAATAGCATTTATTCATAAGATCTGGAAAACATATTACATGCCACTTGCCACCAAATTAGACAGTTCAGATAGCTTCAGTAAAATCAGTAGAACATTTACAATTACTCTCTCAACCAACAGAGAAACTTCTGAGCATTCTTTACTGAAGCAGTAAAAAAGCCTCATGTTTTAATTTTCTCTCAATAATGTGAGATACCCAAAAGCATATGTCCACAGACATACCTCTTTCCACCCCTTCCCTCCCCAGAATCAGAGCTGACAAAGCAGCTTTGTTTCAGACAGTGAAGGTCTCTGCTTGCTGTACGACTGCTGGCAGAAATATCTGCTTTTGCAGATCCCACTGCTCTATAACATCCCAGTGATTCAGTACATTGCAAGGAAAACCTGACTCAAATGTACTCACTGAGTCTTCCCATAGTTTGCAAGCCTGCCAGGATCACAAGCACCTTGTTTTCAGCATGCTGATCAGCAGCAATAGTGTAAGACTCTATTGAAAAGGCCTATCTTCTCATTTTGGAGAATGCGTTGAGAAATCAGTGGTCGTTCTATTTCTCTTTGGTACCTGCTCTAACTTAGGGTTGGAAAAGTACCTCTTCCAAAAGTAAAATCCCCTGCTACAAGTTTTTAAGAACATCTTTCTCCCTTTTTAAACATACCTACTAAAACCGGTTGGAATCTTCACAGTAAAAATTCAACTTCAGTCTATAAATTCTTCAGGACAGGTTAAAAGTAAGAAAGCATATTGTAGCATCATCAAAGCCTGATAACCACTGCAGACGGGTTTGCTTCAGTGCATCACAGTGCATAGGTGGGCTACAGTCAGAGCAGACTGCATACGGAGACTGGGCATCACTGCAGGAGCCTCTCTTGGAACAGAATTAACTCTCAGAGTCTCACTAATCTCCGTACCTTCCAGTTACTGCTGTTCCCAAAACAATGTGTTCAGTGATGGAGAGCACATGCTGAGAAAGAAGAACACGGTTGTTTTTGTTCTTATCATAATAAAAACTGCCTGTATGGAAGTGACTACAGATATCCTGTATCAGGGGTGTGAATGTACCGCTCAAGTGCTGTGTGCAGTGCTGCAGTCTCAGCTGGATCCCTTACTTTGTTAAACTCATTTAGAAATATATTCTGAATTGGGCCTTTACCCAGATTTTCTCTATGCTAAAATACAGGTACTTAACATCTGACTATTTGAGTTGCTTGCAAGAAAAAGAAGCACCTGGCACTGGCAGCAGATGTAGACAGAAGAGCAGATATGCTGCCACAAAGTTCTCTTGTATAATTTGTAGATTTGAAGAAAATAATTGCTAATATGTAACCAGAAAGTACTGAAGTGACATGAGAACATATACATGTCTAAATACAAATACCTTGTTCATTTACTAAAAAAGATTCAGAGAAAAAGTGGGATCAGGGAAACTCGTCACAAATAACTAATAAAAGTGTGCTGCCTAAATTAAGTATCTTAACAGAATTATTTCTATGAGAAAATAAGCGGAACTGCACTAAATCTTTCTAGAGACAAATACGAGGCTTAAAAGAGAGCGCTTCACAGAATCAGAATCATCTGAGTTAGAAAGAAGCCTTGAAAGCCATCTGGTTCCACTCCCTGCAATGCACAGGGACACCCACAGCTCCACCAGGTGCTCAGAGCCCCTCCAGCCTGACCTTGGGTGTCTCCAGGGATGGGGCATCCACCACCTTTCTGAGCAACCTGTGCCAGTGCCTCACCATCCTGATAGTAAAACACCTTTTCCCCTATATCCAGATTAAATTTCCCCTTTCAACTTCTCCTCAGCTTTTTTCTGTTGTTTAACCATATCAGTTTCCTTTTCCTTTTTTTTCTTTTCACACTGCATGCTGATGAGCATCTTCTAATCGGTCTTTTTAGTTCTCCTGTAGCGCAGGATTGTGGCCGTGACCCAGAGATTGAGAACGAGCATGGTTATGAAACGGATGAGAACTACAAAGGAAAAACAAACAACTCTCATTAAGCGCCATTCCAAAAAATCATCTGCGGTCATTTTCAGCAGATGCGTTTTTTGTCAACCTCTCCTGGTGTACAAATTGCTGCTTTCCTTTCAATAAGTTCCATGAGCACTTTTAGGAACCCAAATTCTCAAAGTAAATGCAGCGGAGAAGGGCACTGAAAGCACTCAGCGTTTGTGAGGGCTGTCTGAAAATAGCACACCTTTCTCCTGTGACAAGGCCAGCAGAGCCACCCCATCCACACAGGTATTTACACCTCACACAAACTCAGAGCCACAGATTCTGTGTCCTTTACAGTTGTGTGCATTGCTCATAATAAACAGATTATTCTCTGCTGCCATCTGTTCATCATAGGATGGCTTGGGTTGGAAGGGACCTCAAGGATCATGAATCTCCAACCCCCCTGCCACAGGCAGGGCCACCAACCTCCCCATTTAATACCAGACCAGGCTGCCCAGGGCCCCATCCAACCTGGCCTTGAACACCTCCAGGCACAGGGCATCCACAACCTCTCTGGGCAGCCTGTTCCAGCACCTCACCACTCTCTCTGTAAAGAACTTCCACCTGACATTCAACCTAAACCTTTCCTCCCTCAACTTAAAACCATTTCCCCCTGTCCTGCAGTCATCAACCCTTTCAAAGAGTTGATTCCCCTCCTGTTTGTAGGCTCCCTTTAGGTACTGAAAGGCTGCAATGAGGTCACCCCGCAGCCTTCTTTTCTCCAGGCTGAACAAGCCCAGCTCCCTCAGCCTGTCTTTGTAGTGGAAGTGCTCCAGCCCCTGATCATCTTCGTGGTTCTCCTCTGGACCATCTCCAGCAGCTCCCTGTCTTTCTTGTACTGGGGGTGGCTCAGACCTGGGCACAGTACCAGTACAGACAGGACCTCACAAGGGCAGAACAGAGAGGGACGATCACCTCCCTGTCCCTCTGTAAGGCTGAGACTTTGGGGATACAGGAAATACAGCTATCATATTTAATGATGGGGAATCTGACAACTTAGGAAAAGGCTCTGTTCTTCAGAACCATGATTAGATTGCCCCATTTTTTTAAATGAAAATGATCACAGTGTCTCCACGTGTGGCACAATCACAGGCAAATGTAGCTTTGGTTCAGAAGTACTCCTTAAAAGTTCCCTGAGCACATATGGATCAGGATAAACATCCCAACCTATTTAAGAGCTAGACATGAACTCAAATCACTTTCTGTTACGCCTCACAGTGTCAGTGTTTGCTGCCATCTCTTTCACATTCCCAAGCTCACTGTGCTGCATTTTAAAACACAGCCTTAACCAGAGGCAGTTTACATTTGAAGGATTCAGTTTTATGGCAATTTCAAGAAAAGACAGTGCTTTTCTCCCTTCCCTCCTCCCCCCATTACACCTCTCTGGCTTCTAAGCAGCTGTGGGTGAGCTGGGCTTGATAGCTGACCCAGGTTACACTTCTACACCTGCACTTGGCCATTCTTTTGGTGATCCCGCATGGCCCCACCAACTCCTACCCAGGCAGTAAGCAAGTGGGGTGAGAAGGAATAAGGAACTGAAGAGGGCATTTCCTTTTCCAGTGGAAGAGCCACTTTAACTGCTTGTAAAACTAGGCTGTCGAGGGCTGCTTAAAAAATCTACTCAGCTCTTGTTTCTGCTGGAGCATTAGCTCTGAACTGGAACAAAGATTCACCACTTAAAGTACCACGTGATCTTGTTGTTGCCACCAGCTCTTGACTTTGAACCACATATTGATAATACGTGCTGTACCTTTTTGATCTTTCAGTTTCGTCAGCATTGATCTTTTTCAAGGACAGTAAGAAGCTGTTAAACAAATTTTCTTCATAATTAAATTAGATGCAAATTATATTTTAAGCTTTTAGGATACAGTTAAAATCTACCAAAGCAGCTGTTCCCTGGAAAGGTAAGCCACTCCCATACTCACCTATCAGATCATTTGTAGTCATTACAGTCGTAAATATTCTTGCTGTAAATTGAAGGGATTGTTATTAGTGGATGAGACAGAACACGCTTACAACTTCCAAACACTGCTGAAGTCTGTTTTGCAACAGAGCATATCCTGGCATGAGAACACACATGGTATAAACACTTCCACTTACAGTGCATCCACTCCTCACTGTTTTATCCTCAGCAATCAAGCTCTCACAGCTGAATGGCACTGTACCAGAGGCCTTGCTTTAATTGCTTTAATAAGTCACTGATTGTGGTACAAAAATTCTGATTATCTCTACTTCCATGAACTGCAGGTGGTCAAAGGTCAGTGCTTCTTTAGTTCATCCCCTCCTGCTGCAGTTGATAGTGGGTTACACCCACAATCTTGTTGGTATGACTAAGCCATTGTAAGTGTTCACATGCATGCTTTCAGGTCTCTGCAAACACGAGCAATTAAGCTTCCCTCCCTACTACAAATCTAAGCATTAAATACTTTGCATTTGCAGGAGGCTAAAACCATTTATAAAGACTACTGCCACTGCTCAACTGACAGACCACAACTTCTACTGATTGACTTAAAACATCATTGGTTTCACAGGTAATCAGATCCAGGAGCAGTATGTTTTATAGCTTGGATATACAAGTTTTGTGAGGGCACTTCTAACATAGAACTGTTCATGGTGGCTGCTCAGCATTCTTGATACATTTTTTGTTTTTCTTTACTGAATGAAGCATTTACATTTAGACTTGGAGTTAAAGGTGTTCAGTGTTAAAGCATGTACTTGTAAATGGCTTTTCAGAATTAGCACTCTTTGTCTACATAATAGCAAAGCATAGCACCTTTTCATGCTGAGTCACTGCTGATCAATTCCTAAGTGCCATAACACTGAAATCTTTTCCTTACAAAGGCTCCCCTTCAATCACTTTATCTGCATCAGGTTCCATTAATTATTCTTGCACATTTCCTAAATCAAAGTGGCACGGTGACCGAGCTGGTGTCAGCGACGGCACTTGACTGATGGTGTGCCTCAGCAGGCAGCACTGAGTGAAACTGCAAGGGGCAAGATTTTTATCTGTGGTTGGCCAAAGACCTACTGAAGGGATTAGGAGCAGACACGGCTTCATACCATGAGCCCCCATGGCTTACTTGCACAGGTGTACGCAGACATGCTCCAGGTCAAGGCGCTCACTTGTCCAGAATCTTTGCTCTGCCACAGGCACTGCAGCTGAGCGAGCTTACTCGCTGCACTGATGAGCGTGCACAGGTTCTGTAAAGCACAGAGAAAGAGAAGGAAGCTCTGCTGCTGCCATGTTGTTAGCCAAGTGTTTAGCATATGGCTGTTAGCATGTACCTTACTGGAAACACGAGCAGATTCTTCATTTAGGAGAAAAAAGTAATTTGCAACCTAAAAGTTACATCTCCTTAGCAAGGAACCACAAAGCACAAAATTAAAGTTGTCAGAAACAAGGCTCTGGTTTCTAAGGTACTGCTCAGGAAGAAGTTCAGGAAGCACAGATGCTATTGCTATTGGCAAATACTTGGCAGAGGACGATATAATAGGAGCTAAAGAAATAAAAAAGCTCCTCAACCTGCTCCATAAAACTGTATATGGATGTTAGCTAAAATGAGACTGATCCAGTCTAAACAGTAAGGTTGATTCATGCCATCTGTTACCATTATGTCTGGCAAACAAAACCATAAAAGAATGAGAAAACTGAGAAGAATGTGTGGAAACTGAGTCCAATAGCTGGGAGAAAAGTAATGAAGGGGAAGGACTATTCAACCTGATGTCCTTCTAAGAGGGACTTTGCAAAAACCCTCCCTGTGGACTCCTGGGCCTTGCTGGGATTTCCCTTGCAAGGAAGCATTGCTAATTGGGCTTAGAAGCTTTATCCCTGTCTGTAGTGCTTTTTACATCAGCAATTCCAGTTCACCTGGAATCAACTCTTAACTTTTTCTGCTCCAATATAAAAAAGTCAAGGGTCATCTTTAACCTACAATGAGAACTTTTCTTTGAAAACTCTAGGACTAAATAAAAACTATATATTGTGAAATACATAGCACCCACCACACTACAAAAGCTTTGACTGATGCTATGTTCTTTCCTTCTCGCATTAAAGATCTACTAACAGGGATGATGCCATCTGGCCTGAAGAGACCAGCTCCATTCAACCTTCCTTGCTAGTTTTAATGTGACTCAGTGACAAGATCACATCAGCAGATCTCCAACAGTCAACATAATTCTACCTCAGAACATAATTCTTCTCCTACAGTATTTTAAGTGTTATGTTTTGAAGCCACTCATGGAAGTGAAAGAAATAACTGTACTTGAAAACTGTTTTTTCTGAAAGTGAGACTAAGTGAGGAATTCTTCCAAGAACAAATATAAATAGAGATTTCAATGATAAAGATTTCCAGAACAAGACAATTTCCTACATGGACATAATATCAAATAATCATGCAGCTCTTACCATGGCCAGGTCTATGATCCACCTCCGCAGCGTTAGCATGTACCAGCCCCCCCAGAACCTTACAGCACGTTAAGTTTCATAGCAATGAATGTTCTAGGATACCAAAGCTCTCTCTAGGGAATTAGATTTAGCATCCAGAAATAAGTTTTACAAGACTATACAATCTGGATAAAACATAAGAAGCACTAGTTGAAGCACTAAGTGCTCCTGTATTGCAGTCTTTGGTTGAAGAGCGCCTGAGTTTCTGAAGATGCTCCAATGCACAAGATGAGATTTAAGCCTAAATCTTATGCATTATTTAAAAACAAGCACTCCTCGGCACAAGTACAATCAACATGGGTAGGAAATGAAGAAGGTTCACCATTTGCACCCTGCATCTCTAGCTAAGATGTATATTAAGAAGAGGTCGTACTCCTTATCAGCTGTGGGCCATAGCTATATGCATGGCTGCCTTCACACACAGATGTTACTGCACCCCAAGAAATAACATGTGAATGTGGAATGCGTGCTGAGAGGCAGCTGGCTGAATATGAGTTGCAAAACAAATACGAGCACAAAACAAAGGATGACATAACTGTGCAAACAACTACCAAACAAGCAACGTAAACCAAACTGCTGGATTGCAAAGGATACGTGACTGCATAAAGCAAAGCTTGTTTCATGTTTCCACTGAAATGTAGAATAAGCAAAAGGAGAATGACATCTGAAATAAATAAAAGATTGCTTGTCAGCCAAAGGAAAGAAAGGGCCCAAATGCAATTCTAGAAAAAGAGCTCCACTGGGCACCATGTCTACGGCCTCATTTCTTACAGGTTTGTCTCTCAAATTCAATCAATGTCCAAAACACTGCAAGCTCCAAAAGGACGCTTTTCTCAGAGTCTGGAGCATTTATAAGGTTCCTCTCCAATATGGAGTAACCGTAATAAAGGATAAGCTTACACTGTAACTCCACTGCATGTCTATTAATCAGATCACTCTGCTCTACCTGATCTACTTTCATCAAACATACAAGAATTCAACTACATTTGAGCTATTCATTTCCATTTCCTCCCAACTCCAGCTAGAACTGGTCAATGGATTCATGTTACTGCAGTGGAGTATTCTACCTCCAGCAGAGCCCTGGCCTGCTGGGAGAGCCCCATCTTATTTCCAAACCCCTGCTCTAAACAGATTACCTTGAGCGATGATGATGGGATATTCCAGGTATGACTGCAGAGGGTAATCATAATAAATCTGGTACCTCAGAAACACAACGAAGCTGGACAGAAAGACATAAAACAACATGACTGCATAAGGGGACACCACAGCTCCTTCACAACTTATTTTTTGTACTGTTTTTAATTATCTTTGGGTTGTGCCAAAAGGATCTGGATAGGCATAATGCTTTCAAACTGATCTAACAGACATGCACACCAAGTGCAAGCCTGATTATTCCATAGCCTATTGTTGTTATCCACAAGTAGAGTAAGACACAGAGAGCTTCTTGACGTACTTCTGTGTCACGGTGTGAAAGGCATAATTGCAGCTAGTGAGAAAAAACTACGGGCTTCAAGACCTTGAAGCTATCTTCTCTTTTCAATTACCTTGGCACCTTGTGATAACTCTGATTTATTTATGTCCGTAGATCTATCTGTAAATTAAACATGTCTTACAGGAGTAAAAAATGCCTTCCAAGCCATCCAGACTACACCAGTATAAGATTGCCCAATGTAGCTGAATAGTCAGCTGAGAGCCTGCCCTCAAGTGCACCAAGCAATGGCAAATGTTCCTGCTGCTCCACAACAAAATATCTAAAAGGATGCTGTAATCACACATTTCTTGCTTTCTTCAATCATCATGCAGGTCCACAGAGTCTAACAGACATTTCCAAGCTGTAGAGTCTGCAGAGAAAGACTAGTGGAGAAAAAATGGTGGTTTGCAGCACACAAACATGGTTTAAGGAATTTCCTGCCTGGTGGAATCAGAATCCTTAGAGTTGGAAGAGACCTCTGAGGGCCACCTAATCCAACTCCCTTGCGATGAACTGAGGCACGACAGCTAAATCAGGTTGCCCCAAGGCCTGATCCAACCTCGCCTTGAAAGTCTCCAGGGACAGGGCATCAACCACATCTCTGGACAAACTGTTTCAGTGCTTCACCACCCTCACTGCAGAAGACGCTTTTCTTACATGTATCCTAACCTACTCTCTCTGAGGTTGAAGCCATTTCCTTACATACAACCTAAATCTATGCTCTCTGAGCATGAAGCCATTTCCCCTTGCTCTATCACCACAGATCCTGCTGAAGAGTCTGTCCCATTCTTTCCTGTAGTTCCTGTTTAGATGAAAGTAGGTAACAGTCTTTTGCAATATTCAGGATTAAAACAGCTAAATTCTGTTAAGAACTTCCTCTAAGCCATATTTGTTCTAAACTCAGATACACCCCTTTCCACCACCATCATTCTTCACATTGCTCCTCAGTCCACTCTGAGTGCATTCTGGCTCTGCAGAACCATCCCAGAACCTGAGGACAGAAAGCACTCTGTGGCTGGACCCACTATGGGTTGCAGAATAAAGAGTGCTACTAAATAAACAATCCCAATAAATCTTTCAAAACAGCATCACTGAAACCCCTTCAATATACTTTTGTCCTCAACACGGTTCGAAAAAGCCTGTAATCTTCTGAAGGACTGATTACATTCTATCTGTATGGGTGAGAGAATCCTGTCTGACTGGCACAGGTACCTGCACAACCAGCACACGCACCACGGAGAACCCAAGTACCACAGGATCACAGGACGGTTGGATTGGAAGGGACCTCACAGCCCACCTGCCCAACCCCTGCCGTGGGCTGACTGCCTCGCACCAGCTCAGGCTGCCTAGCGCCCACCCAACCCGGCATCGAGCAGCTGCAGAGATGGAGCACCCACAGCTCTCCGGGCAGCTGGGCCAGGAGCTCACCGCCCTATGAGCAAAGCATTTCTCCTCATCGGCCAACCCAAATCTGCCCTCTGTTAGCTTAAAGCACTTCCCCCTCGTGCTGTCACTCCCAGATCCCGGCACACCGCCTTACCCCACCAGCTCCAGCACGAGGCTGCCCAGGCTGAGCCCCCGCGCCGACCCTGCCGCCAGCACGGCCGCCAGCTGCGGCAGCTTGATGACGGCGCACACCGCCCAAGTGCTCCAGTGCGCCACATCCAGCAGGGCCGCCGCCATGATGCCCCGACCCGCAGCGCGGAAGGCGGCGTGGCGGGAAGGGCGGGAGTCTGCCAGGCCCGGCCCCGCGGGGCCTCTGCGGAGCGCTCGCGGCCGCCCTGTCACGGCGGAATGCGGAAGGGCTTTACGTCGCAGTTCAGCTGTAATTTATCGCGTTTGAGTCTCTGAGGCGCAGTAGTTCATCTCATAGCGAATTGGTATTCTAATCTCCAGGTTAGCATAAAAGCAGTCCCATGACTGGAAAGAGGCTGTGGATGCCCCGTCCCTGGAGGCATTCAAGATAGGGATGTGTCTCTGGGCAGCCTGGTCTGCTGGTTGGTGACCCTGCACACAGCAGGGGGTTGGAACTCGATGGTCATTGTGGTCCTTTTCAACCCAGGCCGTTCTGTGATTCTATGATTCTATGAAAAAGCCAAGCCTGCTACCTATGACTGACTAACTCCATGCATCTGTGCAGGCTGGGGCCAACAGTCCAATAGATTCCTGTATTCTTGACATCTGAGGTTGTGTTGTACAAGCGTGCAGATCATGAATATAAAAGAAACGCTGGATGCTGCATGTAGGTTATAAGTTAGATGTGCAGTACATTATATACATTTGTGGCAAACTGAAAACATGGCAGTGTTTATGTAAGGTTTACTTGATGTTAGGAAGAACACACATTACAAGATGAATGAGAGCACTGTAAGACAAAAAAAAAAAAGAAAAAGAAAATACCGCCCTGTTAACTCAGTGTGCACTCTGTGAAATGGCTCATTGAGCTAATTGAAGGTCTGAAGGCTGCTCTGGGTAATGGCATGTTATGTAAAATAATACGGTTAGCCAAAAAGAAGTACCAGAAGAGCCTAACATACCAGAACTGCCCCCCTTACACACCCACTTAGAAGCTTAATGCAAAAGCTGTCTTTTCAGTTCCTTTGGCTTTTAAGAGAGAAAATCATGCAGCTATTACAAAGCGTTGGGATAGTTACCATTGGTTCTACCCTGCACTGTTTAGTTCGTTTCTCATTTGCAGCAATACCTGTAGCTGAGAGTTGCTGCATATGTGCATTTGTTAATCCACACACAGTATATCCAGTAAAGATGGGTAATCATTACTAACTGGGGAAAGCAGACAGTTTGAAGTGACCTATCAAAATCATAAAGTGAAACCAAATCTTGTAATGTTTACAGCTTCTGTATTTGGAGATTTTTATTGCAATTTATTGATGCCAAATGAGAGGTTCTTGCTGGCATTCCCTGGGAAGCCAATGAAAAGACATTTGCAGCAGTTTTGCTCCACCAACCTGGCATAAAGGTGATAGGCTGAGGTGAGGCTTTAATCCCAGATTCTTGGAAATTCCATTTCTAAGTAATGGTGGTTTTGTGGGTACATGCAGCTTCTGAAAGAGGCTTTGAAAAGGTTACAGGATGACATCAGTCTGTGGCATCTGTCCTTCCTGAGACAGAGGAGAGCTGTGGGCAGGGCTGTAATGTACAGAACCAAGTGCCTCTTCAGTGCTTGGCAGCGGTTCTGAGTTTCTTGGAAAAGCATCTGGTTTCAAAGAATTAATCCAACCAAACGTGGAGGTTTCTGAACAGGGCAAAGCAAGAGCTCACTTGGATTCAGAGTAGCAAGTATAGCTTTTAAGACAGATACTCTACTTCAGGAAGGTTGTCAAGGTTTTGCTGGTTTCTATCTGAGCAGGGCTTAGAAAAAGCAGTTTGAGGCCCTAACAAATTATTATTCATTTCAAAACCCAGCAGTCAAAGAAAGTAAGCAAATAAACGAAAGACAAACAAACAAACACAAATCCATATAAAACAAAACAAAACCAAACCTACCCCACTTCTTGTGAAGAAGAAAATTATCTGCACTAAGATAAACATATACTCTGGAAATGTTGTTCTACAGGGTGTTCTTGAAGGCAAAAGGAAAAAAAAAAAGGGAAAGGCAAAAATGTGAATGTGCATGTATGTATGCAATATGTCTTTTATGTATCATACATTGTATTAGAAATATATTGGTGCCTGGACCTGGCCTCTTGTCCATCTAACTTCTGTACATAATTGCTTTTTTCTTTTTGCGTTGTAGGAATCTTACTGTTCTTGTAATTTGCACCATGTTGCAATGTTCTTTGTAGGAAAACCCACTTAACTGCTGGTGTAGAATAATGCAAAGGTCAGGAAGCAGTTTTAAATACAATTTCAAAAAAAAACATGGTTGGAATCACCAGTCTTCTAGAATGAAAAGCTTTATAGTTAAGATGCCATATGGGAGCTGTGTACAAAGACTACTCTAAGAGTATAAGAAAGACAGGTTTATATGAACTTACATATGTTTTGTTATAAAATATAATCCATTTCACACATTTTTATTATGAGAAGCACTTGAAATGAGAACATGCAAGACTTGGAGGCACTGGGAACAATCCTTAAAAGAGAAAGCAATCTATCTAACTACAGAATTAAATTCAAATTCCTACCCACTTGTGCTCTTTAACTGAAAGAAATACAGAGAATGGATTCTCTAAACACAGATAATCTCTTCTTTGAGATCTGGCAGCAAAAGGAAAAAAAGAAAAACTCTTATAAAACCATGAAGCACGAGTGATACATCATAAAAACTCTTCACAAGAAGCTTACAGCACAGTTTAGTATCTGTACAATCTCTTTAATAAATGGAGTTTCCACTGGTCATTTACAGATTTAAGTGCCGCTGTCATCCATTCTTTCTGAGAGACTTTGCTTATGTAAATAAAGATTTGTTGGGGAAATTAATTCTGGTAAGAGAAGAATAATGGCTAAACTTGGGAAGAAAATTAATTCTGGAGAATACCTGTTTATTGCTTTCTGCTTACAGGTTCTATGGAGTTTTGGTTGGCTCTTCAGCTGCTTCCAGCTGTGTTTTCTGAAGGTTGCTGTATGCAGTAGGGAGAGGCAAAGTAACTTCAGAACGATCCAGCTGGTGCCAGAGGAAGGCTAACAGCAGCAGCATAAAGGAATTTTAATTTCAAAGGAACAGGTAGTAATTGAACAAAATATGTGTTCATGTTGGGAAACTTTTGTTCTATGAACAGTTGTTTTCTTGTTGGAGACATTACAATGTCAACTGCTTAGATTTCAGAAATGCGAGTGAGTTCTGAGGGTGGGAGGAGCTGCTGCTATGCAGGTTGTTGCCCGCCAGTATTCCAGCAGCATTTCAATTAGCTTTATCACCAAGTCAAGGTGTGAACTTACTTTCACTACAGACTAGGCAGTAAGGATGGATTTCAGAGGGGCTCTGATTAAAAAAGGCACCTCTGGATGCAGTGAAAAGCGTTATCTGTGGCAGCCAGTAGAAGATTAAGGATGTGTGCTCATCAAAACGTGAGGTGCTTCATCTGGATTTTTGAGATGTGATCCATTCCAATCTGACCCAACTGATGTGAATTTTAATTCTTTTTGAATATGTATTAAAAAGATGTTTTTTCTGATTCCAGCAACTCCAGTGTCGATCAGATAACAGATGAAAAATGCTTCAGTTACACAGTTTATACACTAACAGGCAAGCCATGTTAAATATGTCATTCCTGTTGGCTGTTTGTGTTTAACATTCAAAGGTACAGCATTAATTCTGTAGTTAGATAGATGGCTTTCTCTTTTAAGGATTGTTCCCAGCCTCTCTCAGTGCAGCATTAGCCTTACCACTACCTTCTGTTATAGCAAACACGATTCTTCCTTCTGCAAGTTTAGACTGTTATTTTGAATATTGTCTGCCATGCACATGAAATACAAACAGCTGCTTTTCTCACTCCCTGAGTTATGTGTGTATCTGAAGACTGCTATCCTGTTCCCATTCTCTTTTTATTTTTTCAGGTTAAGCTGTTTAATGTTTCCTCATGGCTGAACTTCCCAGTACTCCATTTACAGTCTTTGCTTCTCAAGGCTCCTTAGCGGCCCACGTCTTCAGAGCAGGGCCTTCCATGTTTTGCCCAAAACTGGAAGAAACACTTCAGCTGAAGCAGTGCCAGTGCTGAGAGAAGGATGAAGTTGTGCAGTGCTGTGACCATCCTCCATCCTGTGCAATCCATTGTGCAGGGCCTCTCTGGGAGAAGGATTCTCCGGATTCATACATAGCAAACAGAGTTGAGAACCTGGAACTATTTAATGCCCTTTGAAATTAGAAATGAATTGTGCACTACTGTTGCTGCAACGGTGTCCTTTGCAGTGGATTACTTGGTGGGAAGTGAGTGCCATCTGCAGGTTAGAAAACGTGGAGCTTACTATGTTCCCACTAGATGTATTTGAAATAAAAACAGTTCCTGCTGCAGCTTTCTTCTCTTAGAAGAAATCAAAAGGCATTTTAGCTCAGCAAGATATTTTTATTGTTATTATTATTTTTTTTTTTGAAAGTGTAGGTTTCCTTTTTCTGTGTCTGCACATACAGTGGCATCAGTCCTTGCATGGATTGCTTTTGTGATGCCATTTTATTTCTTCTCTAGATACCTCAGTTGTCATCCTGAAAGCCTTAATCCTCTGGTTCTCAGCTACTCAGGAAGCCATGAGGTGAACTTCTCACTGCTATGGCTTCAGTGAGCAGGATATTCTTTAATTGTTTGGTTGGGTTTTTTTTGTTGTTGTTTTTTTTTTTTTGAGATCACTTGGATGTTGACAGTGATCACACTGTTCCAGTCCACCTCTTCTGCTTTTGAACTGCCTTCAGCTGCTGGTTCAACCTCAAAAATAGACTCAGTTGTGAAGCATGAGGAAACACCACTCCATGTTACTCAGCACTGGTGAGACCAAACTTTGAGTAGTGAGGTGTGGGTCATTGGCCTCTTCTCCCAGGTAACCATTGATAGGACAAGAGGTAATGGCTTTAAGTTCCACCAGGAGAAGTTCAGGTTGGATATCAGGAAAAATTTATTCTCAGAAAGAGTATGAGGCAGTGGCACAGGCTGCCCAGGGAGGTGGTGGAGTCACCAACCCTGAAGTGTTCAAGGAATGTGGAGATGTGGCACTGAGGGACGCGGTCAGTGGGCACGGTGGGGATGGGTTGGTGGCTGCATGAGATGATCTTAGTGGTCTTTTCCAGCCTTAATGATGCCATGAATCTATGATTTCTCCTCAGTCCGCTGAGTTCCTGTTGTACCAAGGTTAATGGCTTCTGTGCTGGTTTTCAGCAAGGGCTGAACATGATTCTACAGATACTACCTACAGCCTATGGAGGCAGGTACTGTGTGTACATTCCCCATGCTCTGCTGATTAATGTTGTTTTCCTACAAAATAACAGATCACAAACAAGCTTTGCATTGAGATGCATTAGTAACAGGCTGTAAGTACTGTGTCCATTTAGCCTTATGATGGTTTCTCTGGGCAACCACAGATTCTAGGAGCTACAGGCCTGTTAAATTCAAGAATGGTGATAATTAGAATATAACCTGGCTGAGCGTGGCTCAGGTTTCTGAGCTGGCATGCGTTCAGAGCAAAATGTAAAAAGCCTGCTTTCTGATCATGGTTTTCCATCAGCTAAAAAAAAAAAAAGGAATTTGAAAGCAAAGGGGAGAAACAGCAAATCCAAAGAAATAAAAATGAAAACCAGTCTGAAAAAAAATTGGCTTCTTTCCCTCAGCAGGGAGGCTTGAAAATGCGCATAACACATCTTGCTTGCCTTCAGTTTCACTCTTGGAACGAGCTTAAACATGCAAGTGACAAGCTGGTGAATCCTTGGCTAAATAGATGAAATGCAACAACCTACTGCATTGTATTGCACTGACTTTCAGTCAGTGTAATTTGTGGTGCAGCTCATCTGAGCTGATCTCCAGTAATTGTTTCTTTTCAGGAGGTAAAAATTCAGGAAGAAATTGCCCTTTGGCTCTAAACTTACTCTTTCTGATGTTAGTAGCAATGTTACAGTGGCCTTGCATAGGAAAATGGATGGGATCTGTGGTCCTGACTCACTGTATATGACCCAGTTACCTCAAATCTGAAGAGGATTGTCTCCTTAGGCATTGCTTGGTGGCATACGTCTTTGCTCTTGAAAAAGTTCCATGCTGGACAGCATTATTGATCTCTGATGGAAGATGAGGAATTTGTTACCTGCTATTTTCAATCTGAAAGAAGTCTGTTAGCTAGATCTCTTTCACTTGCTTTGTTACTGGTATTTTTACTTGAAGCATTAGGAAAGCTGGAGGTCATCTTCAAGTTTCCTCTTTTGTGCTCCCCTGCTGAAGAGGTAATCCATGCTTATCAGCATCTTGCCAAGTTCAGTATTCATCCTGCTGCCAATGTTCTGGTTGGTGGAATTGGGAACTGTGTTTGAAAACACAGACATGTAGTCTGGTAGAGGCTTCTGTTCCTTTTTGTTACCCTGGATGAAACAAAGACCATTAATGCTGAAGTTTTTGGGGTTGCATCCTTTGCTTCTGAAAATTCAGGTTACTGAGATTATTAGTGACATCAGCTCTTTTGCTTTTTGAAAATTAAGTTGTAAGCATGTAATACTTACTGAATGCACATGAAAGTGTTGCAGAAGTACAGTGAAAAGTTTTCCTATTATTTTTCATGGGAATAAGATAGCACAGGGAAATGAATAATTTTTAAATATGTTGCTTAAAATGTCAGGAAAGAAAGAATTTAGCCTGCTCTGGAGTGCTTGTGATGTGGGAGGTTTTTCATTTTGTTTTCAGTAGTGACTTGGATTCTAGTATGACATTATCTTACACTTTTCTTTTTCTTTTTTTTTTTCCCTAAGCTGGTTCTTCTAGCACTTTTCTCTGCATGAAGTTATTAACACTGAAGTAGATTGAAGGTATGCACAAGCTCTCTTTCTTTATGGAAGATGAATGGCACCTCAGCTCCCTTTTGTTTTCCTAAAGATTTAAGTCTTAAAACATTTGCCAGTTATGCCTAAATATGCTCCATTTAAAATATTAGTGTCTTTCAAAGTGATGCAAGCTAAAAAGAGCCTGGATTACAGTTAAGTATTTGTTTGAAACTTACCATTTGGTCATAGTCCTTTAGGAAACTCCAGTTCTGGTGCCTTGGAATAGAAGTAAAAATTGCAGTTTAAAATCTTTTGTCTTTGTTGCTCCCTATTTTATTCATCTTGCTATGTTGAGCACTGTATGAGTATGCCAGGTTTGGATGTCCCTATAACTGCTGGTTACTGAGAAATGCTTGGGCCTCTGCCATTTGCCTGTATCCACTTTAGGTCAGAAAACAAATTCATAGCAAGCTTTCCCCATCATTGTTTTTGTGATGGGGATGAGGAGCCAAAGGACTGCAGCCCTGCAGGCTGTAGCCTGTGTAGCCTGCCGTAGGCAGCTGTGCTGGCTTTAGACATCTGACTTCGTCTATGTAGCCAAGGATGGAGAGCAGGGCATGCATTAGCTGTGTAATGTGTTACCCCAGTACACATGAACATGGGTTTGCACTGACATCCATGACTGTGAACCCTAATAAACACGTGCAGATGTAGCATCCCTCCTGTTGCCTTTGCTGCAGAATGGGCATGGAGGATCTGGGCCCACTGGAAAAGGGCCTGAGTATACATCTGAGGGAGAGCAGCATTGCAACCACAGCTCAGGCTTTGTGTGAGCCAGAGTCCAGGCTTCAGCCCTGCCCTCGGGCAATAAGAGCCAGACAACAAAGCAAGCATTGGAGAAACCCAAACTATTATCTCTATTTCCTCCAGAGGACTGAGTAGGACAGGAGTTTTCAGATGGTTTCTTTTCCCTTCTTAAAATCATCCTAAAAGTGGTGTGCTTCATTCTCTGCCTTCTCCTTTTGTCTGCTTGGCTAGTGCATAGCCAGTGCATAGGCAGAACTGGAGCTGTTTTTACTTTTACCAAAAATATCCTTCTAAGAAGCATGTCTGTGTTGTGTACTGAAGTACGAACAGAAGCACTTCACAAGTTATGTGGCAGAGACAGAGAGGATCCTAATTTCTGGCTCTTTCAGGTAACTGGTGAATACATGTATCCATACTGTTCTTTCTGCTGAAGCACTGAAATAATGGGATTTTCCTGTCTTCAAGTGGCTTGTGGGGGATGTTCAGGAGATTTACAGAGTGGGACTCCAGAATCATGTTTTGGCAGAACACTCTGTTCAACTTCCATTTCCAAAAATATGAGAAGTGGCGATAATATCAGTGTGTCTGCAATAAATTATAAAGGTTGGCACATTCATATCGTCATTGTGGAGATCCCTATAAAGCTAAAACACATAAAACATGCATTTCTTTGCATCTCTTTTTCAGCTTCCTCAGTGTGCCAGGAGTTATTGTCATATATTTTGCCCAGTAAAGAAGAACAGAGTTAATATAGCATTAGAATCTTTCTGATGCTAAGGTGGTAGGTTCTGATCCAAGGACCCTGCAGAAGAAAACTTTGCTTGATAGTATAGACTTCAGATGAAGCCCTAGGATATCAGGGAGCATCAGTAATACTGCCAGGATGAGCAGAGACAGGTGAATTATCACAGAATGACAGAATGGCCTGAGTTGGAAGGGATCTCAAGGATCTCCAACCCCCCTGCCACAGGCAGGGCCACCAACCTCCCCATTTAATACCAGACCAGGCTGCCCAGGGCCCCATCCAACCTGGCCTTGAACACCTCCAGGCACGGGGCATCCACAGCCTATCTGGACAGCCTGTTCCAGCACCTCACCACTCTTACAGTCACAAATTTTCCCCTGATATCCAACCTAAATCTTTCCTCCCTCAACTTCAAACCATTTCCCGTTGCCCGGCTGTTGTCAACCCTTTCAAAGAGTTGATTCTCCTCCTGTTTGTAGGCTCCCTTTAGGTACTGGAAGGCTGCAATGAGGTCACCCCGCAGCCTTCTCTCCAGGCTGAACAAGCCCAGCTCCCTCAGCCTGTCTTTGTAGTGGAAGTGCTCCAGCCCCCCGATAATCTTTGTGGCTCTCCTCTGTGGGCCATCTCCAACAGCTATTTGACAGAATTGGAACAAATAACTTACCAGATTTTTCTTCCTCTTCGTTCAGCCTCCACAGACTCCCTCCAGACCTTATCCTGCTGTACCTGGTCCTGCTGCAGAGCTGCCTGCTCCTCTGTTCTGGACCTAGCAGCCAGATGTGCTCTTCCAAGCCGGATGCTGCCACGAGACAGAGGTGGAGCTGAGGCTGATTGCCCCATAGCTGTGTTTGCTGGATGCCAAGAACCAGTCAAGGTGTTCCTGCCGAATCCAGTACCTTTTTCCAGCATGTCCATTTTGACACTCATAACAGATCTACTGAAACTTTAGGAAGGTTAAACCTGCTATTGTTTCTGCTTTCAGAGCTCCTCCTCTCCCAACATTTCTTTCAGCTGCAGATTTGGACTGCTTTAAGAAAATGAGTGTGCACACCAGCACTGACAGGCAGTGCTCAGTGCTGTTTTGCTTCCATGTTATTTAATGATCATTTCCTACTGCTTCGTGTTGCTTCATTGCACGAAGGCTGAACAAGTTTCTGTGGCAACAACAATTTTGTAAGAAACACTTGTTACATCAGCCTCCAGCTGTAAGCAGCAAGCACAGGAAGATGGTGTGTGCTGCTTGCAGCTGAGACCACCTTATGTTCAAAATCGGCGGAACAGCAAAGCCTGGTTTAATGCAAAGCATGCACTGGGACTGCTGCTGACTTTGTCAGGAGTTTTGTTGGAGCTGTGTGGCAGAAGCAAAACCTCCAGAAAGCTTCTGCTTTCCCTGATGTGTTTACTGTCTCCATTGGAAACCAGGCTGGCTTGTGAATATTCACCAGAAAGGGAGCAGAAACCCACTGCAGGCAGCTGCTGAGGCCTTGGACTCTGTTTGGGGCAGAGCTCTTTTGTTTGAAAGAAGATATTTCAATGCAACTGTGCTCTTAAAGCTCCTTATTTTCAGATTTAAAAAATTGCATCCAAAGATCATAAGAAGTCCTTTTGAAGCACTCAGAGATTTCTCCAGAAGGTATTAAGCAACTATGGGAAGTACTTTTTAATTAACTTTCAGGAACTATTAGCATAAAATAGTTAAATAAAAGTGAGAATTTTCTAAGCAGTGTTCGAAATATCAGTTTGTCAGCCTTACAGTCAGCCTGCTGCCGTTTGTGGTATTAAGTCACTTCCTCAAGTATTGGTGACTTGCAGGAAAATGAGGCATTTAAAGTATAAATTTCCTCTTGAATTCTCGACTGACTTGTTTCTAAGTCATGGGAAGCAGCTCCAGATGAATTCTAGCCTCGTGCTCCATCTTTCTAGTAAATGCTAATCTGTTTTTTTAGGGATTTAGTTTTCTTTTTTATTTTTCTTTTTTGGAAATGTACTTACTTGGGGCTATTGGGAAATACACGCCGAATTTGGCAAAGAAGTAATATATTTTTAAATAGTTGTAACTGTGCAACAATCCAAACATTTCATGTAGACATTTTTGAGCAAAAGCTATTTCTGTATTTGGAAGAATTACCACGACTTCGAAAATTGCAATAACATAAATTAAGAAGAGTTTAAAAATCGATGTCAAAACAAAATGTTTGCTTTGGATTTGAATGAAATTTTAGTAGGCTTTTTGTCTGTGTTGTTGTCTTTTCTGAGAGAATTGAAGCCTAAACTTTTTTTCTGTCTCTTTCAGCCAAGAAGAACAAAAAATGTCACATATCCACACAGCCCTATAACTGAAGAAATGAGCTGTTTGCAGCCAGGCCTCATAGTTGACTCTGTTCCTCTTCTAGAATCCAAGATCCTCTCCTGGATTGTATGCAGATAGATAGTTGAAGAGTGGGGTTTTAGTGGCATCTAACTGCTGTGAAAGGAACATGGGGCATGCTTGGAAGACCCAATTAATTTATCAATGCATGTGGGAATTCAGCCTCTGATCAGGTCAGGGAAAGATCCTGATGGAAAGGCTATACCTGTGAATGGAATACTTTTTTCATGAACGTTTACAAAGTTCTGTTATTTTTATTGTAATCTTTCATAGAATCATAGAATCATTTGAGTTGGAAGGGACCCTTAAAGGCCATCCAGTCCAACTCCCCTGCAATGCACCAACACAGCCACAGCTCCATCGGGTGCTCAGAGCCTCATCTAGTCTGACCTTGGGTGTCTCCATGGACAGGGCATCCACCACTTCTCTAGGCAACCTGTGCCAGTGCCTCACCATCCTTTTCGTAAAAAATATGTCTTCCCTATTTCCAGTCTAAATCTCCCCTCCTTTAGTTTGAGACCATTCTCCTTGTCCTGTCACAACAGACCCTGCTAAAGAGTCTGTCCCCTTCTATCTTATACCCCCTCCCCCCTCTCCCCTCTTCCAAGTCACTTTCTGCAAATTTCATATGAAAATAAGCTAAAAATGATTATCAGCTGAGTACATAGTTTCCAAATGACTTGTAACTGAATAAATTGCATGGGAACATTGCTGGGCAGTGCATAGAGTCTATTCTATTGAATGTTGTCTGCAAAGATGCAGGAGATGTAGCTGACTTGGTTTTGATGCAGTTGGAGAGCAGGAATGCCTTCCTGAAAGTGAGCTAGTAAGTTGAAGTCAGATATTTAGGTCCATGGCTCTGCAACCTCAGAAAAGAAGGGAGTCTTTACCAGTTAGCATTTCTGCCATTACATGAATATAGTCTATAAGTCTACATACAGTGGTTGGACATTTCATCCTGTGCCAGTTGTTCCTCTGGAAATTGCAGATGGGAGTGGGATAATGGCTGTTTAAATAAGTTTTGTGGTTGTTGTGACTTTTATATGAATTAAAAAAAAATAGCTGCTGTTCCCAAAACAGATGACTAAGAGCAAATACTTTTAAACTATCCCGTGTTCTCATAACTGCTCTCCACTAAGGGTGTGGTTGTGCACCATTAAAGCACATCAAGGTTAGTGTAAGGGTGACGTTTCTGGGGACTGCCTAAGTGGACAAACCTGTAGCCCATTCAGGCCACTGGTATTGAGCTGTTTCCCCTACTATTATCATCTGCTGGTTTAGCTTTTGTTTTGTTTTGTTTTTTCCCCTAACAACATTGGGATTTTAAGAGTGGAAGAGTGGAACTCATTTGGGTTAACACAACGAATTCACTCCATCCTGCAGTAGATTAATGTTAATTGTGGCTTCATGTTGTATTTATCCATGAAAATTAATATAGCGTCTTTATATTCTCTGCTTGGGGACATAAGAATTGGAAATGTTGTTATGAGTGTCACCGTAGGAGATGATGCCTTTGCTTAAGGGTTAATTTTGGTATTAGTTTCTCTGATAAGCAGTGTCAGGGCCCATTGTGCAGAAGAAGAACATAACTGAGGTTCTTCCTTTGTTGCTACCAGAGAAGTGATGCTAATACAGATTTGTCTGCAACAAATATGTGACCTAGTTCTTTCCAAAAGGGAAAAAAATAGGTGGTTTTTTTTTTTTTTTTTTTTTTTTTTTTTTGTTTTTAATGGGAGAAGAAAGCTTCAGGTATTTAGATAAACTATTTGTATATGGCCACAAGAGGGTATTGCAGTATAAGTTATACAAGATTTGTCTGACTTTGCCATGCAGCACCTTATTTTTAAAACCTACATTTTTCACAGTTGAGCATTTAAATTAAACAGTAAAGAAAATCCAATTATATATGCCAGTATTTGATTTCCTGACCCAGATGCAATTTCTGAGGTGGGTTTTGCAAAAAAAAGGTTTCGTTTTTATAGTGAAGCTGTGTCTCTAAATTTGAAGGACAGTGTTGCCAACTGCTCTCCATGTTTTGAGTAGTTCAGGCCATGTAAAAGAAGCTGGAAAGATTTCTAGATTTTCCTCTCCCTGAGTCTTACTGAATTTAAGAGAACTTGGAATGCTTGCCTGTCTTTCGGCAAACTCGCCTGAAAGAGAAGAAACATCACAGCCATGTTGCATTATCTGTGAAGATTGGATCACGATTTAATGGACAGCAAAGTGTTTTTCATTTAATACAGTTTGTGTTTGGTGGGAGCTATCTGCAGAATTCTAAGAAACATAAATGTAGAAGCAGAGGAACAGCATGAATGTCACATCTGAATAAGAGGCAGAAGCAAGCTCATCAGCTAGAGGAGAGTGCTTCACCATTTGCAAAGACTGAAAGACCGACACCTCACTGACAGGACAGAAACCCCCACGGCCATCTTTCTACATGGGCAGTGCTGCCAGCCTCTGAATAGTGCCATCTTCATTGTTGTCAGCAAATGAATCAAGATCACTGTAGTCAGACAAAACTGCCATGTGGAAATTGGGTGATGGTGAATTTGGCAGAGTAGGATGCTAGTTGTTCAGTGTCAGGATGCTGGGCACCTGACAGAGAAGGAATGGGCATTAACCAGCAAGGGCTCTGGGAAGCCTGGAGGTGGGAGACCCTACCAGCCGTGTACAGCTTGGTCTCTCAACAACAAATGACTGCATTGCTCTGTGCAGACAAAATGAAAAGTCTTTCAAACAACAGGCTTGGAGTAAAACCCTTTTTAAGTGAAGACTACGTAGCCACTTGGTTAAAGGCCTCATTTGTTGTTAAATTTTACTGTACCTTTGATACGAAAGTATAAACTTCTTTCTTGTCTTAATGGGATTTCAGCTGAGCGAGCCTGGAAAGTTGAGTGTCTGTTTTGCTGCAGCTTACTAGTGCTGCAGAGGGAATGTCTGCTTCCAGTGACACAGAGTCTGACACTTCAAAATGAAATCGAAGCTGTAAGAAGTCTGTTGGGGACTTTTTTTTCTCTTGCTTTGAGTGTTACAAAATATGCTAGCTACTGATAGGCAGTTACTTGAAACAAAAGTTATCCATTTGAAAATATTGTTCAATTGAGAAAACACTCAACTGTGTCTATTCCATGCAATATGCACACATTTTCCTTTCAGTTTTAGTTACATCAAAAGCAAATTATAGTTAAAATTGCAACTGGAAGCAGTATAATTTGACAATATGGGCAATCCATATTTTGGTACATTCTCACCAGTACTCTGCAAAGTAGGCTGGTAGTCTTATAAAACTGGAAGGCACTGTTAGAGTGTTCTCATGGGCACAGTAGTGGGATTTTGGGCAGGGATGCTGAAGGGTTGTATGGGACTAGGAACATTTAGAAATATTGGTTTCAGGAGAAAGAAACAAAAAAGGAAGGAATGTTCTTCACTGGCAGAGTCTTACGGGTGTTCTCAGTTGGTATTTCACATGCTTGGATAGAGGCTAGATCTTGTGAAGAAATGCAAAATTGCCCAAACAGCCAAAATTATCTTTAGAATTCAATTAGAGATGTTCATGTCA